CCTGATGGCGGGGCGTGGGGGTGGGGTGGGGAGGCTCAGGGTGTGAGGACCACAGCCCGGTGTCCACCCCCTGCACCTTGTTCTCATACCAACGCCTGTCTCTGCCCCACGATTTGTGAACACCGTGACTGCCGTGGGAATGGAGACATGCAGGGTCGCGACTGTGGGGCTCTGGTCAGAGTCCCAGGGGCCACCGAGGCCCCGGCCTCGCTCTCAAGCCCCCTGCTCCCGCAGGGACCCCCGAACAGGCCTGGTGGTGCTGGGGGCTCACGTCCTGCGTGCCCCGGAGCCCACACAGCAAGCGTTTGGCATCTCAGCCATCATCAGGCACCCGGACTACCAGCCCGACATCCACGCCAATGACATCTGTCTGCTGCTGGTGAGCGGGGCGGGGGGCTGGAATCCGGTCTGGCCTGTCCAAGGCCTCCCCCATGATGGCCCAATGCATACGTTCGAAAACCAGCTGGAAGGACCCCATGAGCACCCAAGTCAGGTCACATCCCTCCTCTGCCCTCCATGCCTCCCACATCCTCCCCTCAGAGTCCCACTCAGGGTGGACTGAGCGGTCAACGTCTCAGCCTGCTCAAACCCCCGGGGCTTTGCACAGGCTGTGGCTCCCCCCAGGACACTGCTCCCACAGACACCACCTGGCTCTCTCCTTCCCTCGACTCTCTCAAGTCTGCTTGAGTATCCCCTTCTCAGGAGGGCCCCTCTGCAAGCTGCCCCTGCCCCCACCATCTCCCCATCCCTTCCCTCTGGCCCACCTTTCTTGGGTCACCGCCTCCACCTCCAGACTTGGAGGACAGGGATTTTTATCTCCCTCGGGGCCATTTACGGCCCACAGGAGGCCTGGACATTCAGAAGAGATGAGACTCTGAGGCACCAGATACTCCAATCCCTGTCCCCCCAGGCCCCTTGTGGGTTTTCCGGGCAGGAGGAAGCTCCTCCCATAAGTGTGGGCTTCCCTCCCTGCTAACACAGTGTGCATCCCTTTGGAGTCCCCATGGCCCCCTCCTGCTTGGGGGCTGCCCCCGTATCTCCCACTCAGGTGCCCAAATTCAATTCCAGGCACCCCAGGAAATTTAAAGGGAAAACACTTCAAACCTGCTCTCCAAATGTGGAGAAATTCAAAAGCGAGGGACACTCAGCACCACAGAAGCAGGTCCCTGGGAACACCAGGGCTTGGGGTGCCGTGTTCTCTTGGCAAAATGAGAAGGGGCAGTGAGTGTCAGCGGCAAACCTCACCTATGGATTTGCTCATCTGTGAAACCCCAAAACCTGGAATCCACAGCTCACCCATCCTATTATGCAGCAGGGGAAACTGAGGCTGGGGTATGGTCAGCGGCATGGCTAAGGCTAGGGAGTGAGTACCAAAACCAGGGGCCCAAGTCATTCATTCCATAAACACTGACTGAGCCCGATGTGTGCCGGTCACTGGGGTTAAAGCTGTGAACAAACAGCCCCGGGGCTGCTCCCTTTAGAGCCTCTGGTCCAACACGGTGGCAGCTGAGTAAAATGGCCCTGAGGGGGCACAGGGGAGAACAGAGGAGGCTCCGTCCTATCCTGGGAGTCTAGGAAGTCTCCCCTGAGGAGGTAACATCTAAGCTGAGACTGAAGCCTGGAGAGGAAAGGTGTTCCCGCCTGAGGGGGGACGGGGGGCGGGGCAGGGCGGGACCAGGGACCGGCAGGAAATTCATTCTGCCTGGAGGGGAGGGCCCAACGGTGAGCCAAGAGGTATTGTCCCAAGAACAACAGGGAGCCACAGGAGGGCTTCCAAGCAGAGGAGATGCTGGTTAGCAGAGCACGTCTTTCCCGCCGCGGGGGAGGCCAGTGTCCTGGTCTGAGAGGGTGAGGCCTGATGATGGCTGCTGCTGATTTCCGTCCTTGAGGCCAAGAAGAGACCAGGTGTCATGATGGGTAAACTGAGGCAGGGATGGGTGGTTGGGGGTAACCCTTAACTCAGAGGTTTCTCTGCAGCTGAACCGCTCTGCTGTCCTGGGTCCCGCAGTAGGGCTGCTGAAGCTGCCGCGGAGAGACGCCAGGCCACTCAAGGCTGGGGCACGGTGCCAGGTGGCGGGCTGGGGCTCCGTATCAGACTTTGAGGACCTGCCGCCCGGGCTGATGGAGGCTGAGGTCCGCATTCTGAGCCTGGACGTCTGCAACAGCTCTTGGAGGGGCCAGCTGAGCCCTGCCATGCTCTGCACCCAAAGTGGGGACCGCCGGCGGCGTGGCTTCTGCTCAGTAAGACACTGTCTCTACCCTGCCTGCCTAGGGTATGGGGAAAATGGATGAGGCCTACAGAGAGGGCGAGAGGTGGGCAGAGGCTTGGGAACTAAGTCCCAGCTCACCTTTGAGACCAGTTGAGACCTCACCTGACACCCTGGAAGGACAAAGAATTTTCCAAGGTCACAGGGCTGTCACGTACGGCCGTGCAGATTGCACACTGCACAGAGAGCCACAGATTTGTGTACCCATAAGCAGTGTTCGGTAGCAGGGCAGTATACACCGCAAACAGTCCCTGCGGAGACCCTGTGTGGACTAATGACAGCCCTGGCCCGGATGCTGAGGGAGAAACTCAACCTGGAGGACTTTTATTCCAGGCGAAGGGTATAGCGCTTCAAAACACAGACTCGAGTCCAGCCGCCTGGACCCAAATCCAGACTGTGCCACTTCCCAGGTGTGTGGCCTTGGAGAAGTCACCTCACTTCTCTGGACCTTTCTCCATCTGTAAAACTGCCACACTAGTAGTACCTCCTTCACAGGGTCAGAGCTGAGTCTAGATTACAGTTAGGGTGATGGGACTGGAGAGGGGAAGGGAGGGGAGAAAGCGGGAATTTTAGGGTAAGTATTCAGGGAGGCTTCTCTGAGGGGAGCACCGTTTGAACTGAGATTTGAAGGAGTCTTGAGGAGATCTGAGGGAAGGTATGCCAGGCAGAGAGACCCATCTCAGGGCTGCCATGTACAGCTGTGCTGATCACCTACTGCACAAAGTTCCGCAGACTTGTATTGTTATACCAGCAGCGTTGGGTGGGGACAGTAACAGGTCTCAAGGGTATGGAATCAGCCCAGAGACTGGAGCAAGCTTGGTTTACTTCAGGAACAGCCTGCAAGGTCGGTGGGGCCAAAACCCAGGGAAAGGAGGGTAGACAGATCGGTGAGAGCTGGAGGCTCATGGCCCCTGAAGGCTGTAAGTATGGTTTTTGCTGGAAGAGCACTAGGCGGCCATGGAATATTTCGAGCCAGGGAGGGTTCTGGTCAGATTTGCGCATAGAAGCCCCTTCAGGGAAAGAGGTCTAGAGATGGACCCCTAACCTTGCCTTTCCTCTCACCCCCCAGGCCGACTCTGGGGGGCCCCTAGTGTGCAGGAACCGGGCCCATGGCCTTGTCTCTTTCTCCGGACTCTGGTGTGGCGACCCCAAGACTCCCGATGTGTACACACAGGTGTCTGCCTTTGTGAGCTGGATATGGGATGTGGTTCAAAGGCCCTGGCCCAGCCCCCTGCCCAGGACCACCGGGTCCCTGAGCAGCCAACGGAACCACAACAGCACTGGGGATACAGACGGGATGGCGAATGATTCAGACAGCTCCTTCCCCAGAAATCCCATGGCCTGGCAGGTCATCCACAGGCCCCCACAGGCCCCGGGGAAGCCTGGTGTGTATGGGGTTGGGGTGGGGTAGGAGACGGCATCCGTTCCAAACGCAAAGGGCCAAAATGACCAAATAAAACGTTAACCGAATAACCAGATGGGACAGCTCATCTCCAGGGTGCGTCCACTCCTTCGAGCTTCTCTTGTGCCTCACCGTGGCCGAGGGTCTGGCTTTGCCACTGCCTCCCTGAGTGACCCGGAGCCACTTGCTTCAGGACCCAGGCCCCTCACCACCGTCCCCCAGCCAGGGCAGCTTCCTGGCCTCCGCCCATGCAGTGCCCGCAACGTGGACCTCCTTCAGCCCCCAGCTAACCACAGCCACCTTGATCCCCTCTTTCATCTCCTGCCCTAGAAAGGCTTCCTTCCTCACCCTGCCCCCCCACCCCGGGTCCACACATCATTGTCCTCAGCTGTCTCCCTGGCTGCTGCTCACAGCCCAGACGTACACACTGAGGCCCAGAGACAGGAGGGGTCTCCCCCACTCACCACACTAACAGCACCCCAGGTGCCTGGGTGGTAGCCCACTACCAAAGGGGGCAGCACAGAGGCTGAGAGAGAGAGAGAGAGAGAGAGGAAGAGAGAGGGAGGGAGGGAGGGAGGGAGGGGAGCAAATCAAGGCTTGGACACTCCAGAGTGGAGTCTTTATTTCTTTGGTGAGGCAGGACCCCAGGCTGGGGGAGATGGCCTTGTCGGGAGCCCAAGGGCACTTCTCAGGGTCACAGGTAAGGCACTTCTGAGGGGCTAGGGGAGGGTGAGCACAGCTGGCCCCGTGTGTCTCTCCCCCAAACTTGGAGCTGTGCTCTTGCCTGCTGGGGGCTCCTGATGTGTGGCCTGAGCCTCTGGCCCCCATACAGTCACGGGGTGGGATCACCCAGCAACAACCCAGACAGAAGGCAGAGACTCTACCCAAGGCCAGCACCTGCCTGGTGTCAAGACTCCCGAGCCGGCTGCAGGGTGAGGAAGGTCCAGCTGGGCACTGGGCTGAGGCTCTGCCAGGACCAGTCTCATGGGACTGGGGTTCTGATCCAGACCTCATCTGCAGATGGGACTGCCAAAACTAGTGTGCTGCTCAGACATGCAGCTCCAGGAGGCAGGGTATGGAGTGGGTCCTGGCACACACACCCCACCCCAGGGCCTGTGGGTGAGCAGGGGCTCCTGTGCCCACGCGGTCCTGCCCTAAGTGCACTGGGCACCACTGGACATAACGCTCTGGCCCGAGGCCCGTGTCAGGAGACACAGCGGCTCCTCCCCTCACCCCGTCCAGGGGACAAGCTGGGCTTTCCTAAGGGGCCACCACAGGACGTACTCGGGAAACAAGGGTAGGATGGCAGGTAGCCCCAGCATCCTCGAGGTGGCTGGGGACGATGGCTGCTTCCTCCGCCTGTCTTGAGGCCTGGGCAGGTTCTGAGGCTCACTTACATACCCAGGCCTTAGTCCCAGTCTGTAGTCTAGAAGGCTGGGGTGCTTCTTCTCTAATTGTCGGCAGGAGTGAGTCCCCAGCCCTCTCCGTGGCAGCGATAATTAAGTTATCCCCTAGAGCAGAAGCAGCGGGAGTCCTCCTGGGCAGCTCTGAGCCACAGTCCCAGGCCTCCTCCCCCAATCCTTCCAACGTATCGTCAGGGGGCTCCCGGTCCAGGCTTTGGGGAGCGTCCACGGAACATAAATTAGACTCGGCTGCGGCAATAAATAAAGCGGGGAGGCCTTGAACACCAGGCCCAAGTCGGCCACACAGGCTCACACGAAGTTCTCCTCCTCCTCCTCCGACTCTGCGTCTGACGGCCCAGGGGCGCCTGCAGAGTGGGGGGGAAGAAAAGAGAAATGGGGGCGCGGAGAGGGGCGGGACGCTGGACCCCGCCGCCGGTCCCCGCTCTGCGCCGCACCTGCACAGCTGCCCGGGTGGCGCACGCCGATAGAGCGGCCCAGGAAGCAGGTGGCCTGGCGGAGGTGGCACGAGGACATGTAGGTGACGTTGTTGTTGCCGCAAAGCTCCTGGCCGGGGCTGGAGGGCGCGGGGCAGGGCGCCGCGCGACACACCACGCAGTGAGCACTGCCCGTCTGGTCCACCACGCACGACTGCGGCCGCGGGCACAGCACGTGCGCGCACGACTCTGCGAGCGGGGCGCGGGGGCGGGTCAGGGGCGCGGTCGGGCCGCAGGCAGGCTCCACCCAGACCCCGCCCCCGGGCGAAAACCACACCCCTTCCGCGCGCCTCGCCCGCACTCCGGCCGCACCCAAGCCCCGCCCCTCTGGCCGCGTCCTCAAGCCCCGCCCTGAGTCACGCACTCCTATCTTCCACCCCACGTGAGCCCCAGACCTCCCCTTCCAAAACCGCACCCCGGTTTTCCTCATTCCGGCCGACCCAAAGCTGACCCAATCCAGAGGCGCCCTCCCGGGAGGCCAGTTATTAGGCCCCGCCCCGCCCGCCGGCCCCGCCCGCCGGCCCCGCCCCCACGTACTGCGGCAGCGTCCCGGGTACATGACGCGCAGGTCCGGGTGGCCGCGGCAGCGCGCGGCGCGCAGCTCGCACTCGTCGCGGTAGGTGGCGCCGTCGGAGCCGCAGACCTGCAGACGCGCCGGGAGCCCCGCGCAGTCGGGCGCGCACTCGCAGCGAGGGCGGCCCCCCTGCATGCGGCATGCCTTGCCGGGGCCGCACTCCACGCCCTCGCACGAATCTGCGGACACAGGGCACGCGCGCGTGGGGTGGGGGCGCGTGGCCGAGGCCGGAGGTCCGCGGAGCCCCCGCCCCCTCTTCGGAGGCTGGAGGCCGCGCGGAGCGGGGGCCGGGCCGGAGACGGGGAGCACAGGCGAGGGCGGCTGGCTCGGGCTGTGGGTGCGGGATCCGTTGGGGACGAGATCAGCCCTGGGCCGGGTGGGGCGGGAGTCGAGGCTGGGGCTCTGGAGGCGGGGCTCAGAGTGGGCGGGAACGGGGCGGCGGGGTGGGGGCTGTCTGCCCGGAATCGGGGGGTTCGGGAACGAGCTTCCAGGGCCCGGTCCCGCTCGCGCTCCGCAGCTGGGCCACCCGCTCGGGCTGGCGCCTGTTCCCTGATCTACGCGCCGGGAAGGGACGGCCGGCGGGGGCCCCGGCTGCGTCAGCGGAGGGAGGCCCCGCTGGGTCGGTGCGCGGGTCTGGGGAGGACGAGCAGCGTTCCCCGAAGAGGCGTCGGGGAGGGCGGGGCGTTGGCACTGGGCCTGAGGCTCATTTCCTGGGGAGGGGGCTTCCCACATCCCGGGCCTGATGAACCAGGGGTTACCCCTGCCCCCCGCCCCCCCGCCATTTCTCAGGCAGGGAAACAGGCCTGGGCAGGGCAATTCTCTCTGGGGTCTCCAACTCCACCCAGCACCCCTCTCCCCGGACCTTGGGAAATGCAGACTAGACTCAGCCCCAGCCCCACTGATGGGCGGCTCCCCTTACAGGCCCTCCCAGGCTCATTGCAGTCTCCCAGCCACCCCCCCCCCCCACGAGGTGATGCCATCTTGTCAGCATTTTACAAAAGGGAGAAACTGAGGCCCCGTCACAGCTGTGAGTGGACGCGAGCCAAGGGCACCTCCAAACGAAAACTCCAGGCCAGACCCCAGATGCCCCCCCCACTTCTGTTGCTTGTGGTCCTGGAGGGCAGACTCGAGCTCTTGAGTTCAGCCTCAATTTCCCCGTGTGTAAAGTGAGGCTGACTGGGGAAGCGTGCGCATAAAATGAGAGTGTGTGCTGGCGCCCCCATGTCACCCCTGCCAGGGCATGTGGGCCGCACCTGGGCACCTCCCACACTGCTTGCCCACACACACATCTGGAAACACTCCCCCTGGGTGGCTTCACAAGCAGGAACGGAAGTGGGAGAACTGAGCTGCCTTCCCCAAGGCCAGATGAGATGGGAGGGGCGGGGTGACCTGGACCCTATGCCTAGGCCCGCCGATTTTTTAAGTCTGTGCTCCCTCCAGAACCGCCGCTGGGTCCTCCTCCCAGAGCCCAGCGGCGGTTCTGGAGGGAGCCAGGGCAAATGGCAGTGAGTCCAAGACCACGCAGCCAGACTGATCAGACTAGTCACATCCCAGTGGCCAGCTGGGCTCTCAGCTTGGCCCCCAGCTGCAGTCTCCTCCCTGCACTGGCCCCACCCACTAGGGCCCGATCCCATACTGTCTCCAGCTGGCAAACTCCTTATGACGCCCCAGCACCCGGCTACTAATGCCCACCTCCTTCAAGCCATGCCCCCACACCACCTCTGGGCCCCTGCATGTCCCGCCCAGACCACAGGCCCGGGAGGGCCCCTAGCCCCTCTCCAAGGCCGAGCGCCCTCAAGGAGTTCCTAGTCTGATGGAGGAGGCAGCCGAGAACACTTCTCAGAACACGGTCCAGAAGGCGCATGCTTGTTAAACACGCATCTCGTCCCAGCACAGATCCTTGGAATCTCGGGGGCTATGGGCAGACGAAGTGTTGGGAACACTGACTGGGGGCGAGGCGACAGAGCCAAGCGGCCGGTCGAGAAAGCCCACCGTCCCCGGAGTCAGGTGTGAGTCCAGTGCATTTCTCCCAGGAGGGAAAGCTCACCCCGGCAGGCCAGAAACGAGGCTGGGGAGCCCTCGGAGTTTCTTCCTGAGTCCTCAGATGATGGAGGCTGAGGCCGGGGAACCTCAAGTCCCCAGCCTCTCTCTGAACCCTGGATTCCCTCCACAAACACTCAGCCTCCTTCTGCATACCCTTGAGATGGGGAGCTCATTCCCAGTTGTCCCCCAGTGACCCTGACCTGTGGCTGATGCCCACGGTCTCACCTTTGCAGGGGAGGCAGTGGACGAGGCCCAGGAAGCCCAGGAGGCTGATCTTGTTCCCCGGGTGAGTGAAATTGGACCAAGCAGTGTCAATGCTGCTGGAGGCACAGCACTCCGCTTGGCTGACGTCGGTCTTCAGCACCAGGCTGCACGTGGCCTCTCGACCCTGCTGCAGCCAGCACACGCCACCTGTGCACCAGAGGGCGGTCACTGCCACACCAGGGGTGCCCTCCTGCACCACTCCCAACACCCAGCTCCCGGCCCTGGGGGCTGCATACAGTTGGTGCTCAGTAACTACAGAGGGATGATTTGCTCCCAAGCTGGGAAGGAGGGCCAGAGACCTGCACTGGGTGCTCCCATCCCAGCTCAGCTCTGGATCCTTTTGCCATCCTTCTGGGATTCCTTGTCTTCTCGGAGCTCCACCCCCCACACAACCCCAACTCGTAGTGGGAAGCTCTTCCCACCTTCTGTCGCTGCAGGCCCCCAGGCCCAGGCCTGGCATCCTGCCCAACCAGCCAAACGCCCAGAGCTGGACGTGTCAGGGTCAGTGGGCCCTGCAGCCGCCTCTCCGCCTCTGCCCTCTGTCTAGACAGCACCCGAGGGCACGCAGAGCCCCCCTCGCCTGGCAGCCCCCCCTTGCCTGGCCCGCCTCTTACTCACTCCAACTTGGGAACATTCCCCTTGCATGAGCTCACCATCTCCCTGGGGACACGGCCTTCGGGGAGGGGGCTCAGCTCTCCCCTTCGAGCGGGGCTGGGGTGGGGCTGCTGGCTGGGGTGGACAGGCAGAGGCCTCAGTTTCTGCACTCTAAATGGGGGCAGGAGAGGCCACAGCCCCCAGCCCAGAGAGCTCACTGGTTCCCAGGCGCTGTGCTGAGCGCCTTACAGGGACCCGCTCTAGGAGCTCAGCACCTTGGCACCCATCTTACAAAACGAGAAACTGAGGCCAGGACCGGGGCTGTTCCTTGCCCAGCATCCCCCAACAAGCGGCTGCTATGGGATTCCAACAGCCCATCTATCTAAGCCAAACCTGGGGAAGATATGAGACCTCAGGTGGAAGTCCTGGGTCCAGCCACCCAGCCCCACCTCTCCGGGTCTTCAGGACTCAAGCGGTTCAGGTTCGAGTCCTGAGTTTGCCACTTATAAGCTGGGTGACCCTGCACCTCAGTTTCCCCATCTGGGAAATGGGCATGATGAGCGCGCACACGCACAGTTGGGCTATGGTATGCATTCTCCGAGGGTTAGACACAGCACCCAATAAATGTCAGCAGTCATTGTGACTACTCTTGACCATTGTGAAAGAGCCACATCTGCTGACCTCGTGGTGACCCTTCTTCAGGCCCTTTGGGGCTGGGGGAGGGGAGCCCCAAGCCCTCCCAGACTGAACCTGAGGAGGCCTCCCATCACCAGCCGCCACCGCCGCCGCGCCCCCCCGCCGACATCTCCCCCAAGGCCAGCATTCCCCGGCAGGCCCACGTGGGTGGCCCACCCCGCCCGCCCCTTCCGGCCGCCCCACTCACCGGGCGCGGGGTCCCCCGAGCCCACGGAGCCCACGAAGCCCACGGCCCAAGCCAGGGCCCCCCAGGGCAGTGGCCACAGTGGCCCCGGCGTCCCGGGACGCATGGCGGACGCAGAGACGGCGTCGGACGCGCGGGCGGGCGGCTGGGAGGGCGGCGGCACCGACTTCCCAGCGCGCGGCGGCCGGGCGCTCCCTATAAAGGTCCCGCGGGCTGCGGGCGGGGCGGGGCCGGGCCGGGCCGGGGCGGGGCGCGAGGCCGTGTCGCGCCCGGTGTGTGCAAGGGCTGGGCCTGGCCACCCCGAGGACAGCTGCGGGGGTGGGGCGGGGGTCAGCCCCGGGAGCCCGAGGCTCGGGGAAGGTGTCCCTGCGGCCAGCGCCAGGGGTGCCAGACCGTGATTTCCGGGGCTTACCCTGCGTTTACGGGGAGGGGGGTGTCTTCAGCCGGAGGGCTGCGGCTGAGGAACTGGAGACCTACGGGGAGCGGGTCTGCGGATCCGTGTTTCACGTCGTGGTTTGCAAGTGGTCGCTCATGCGGCCCAGGCGCGATCTGGGCCCCTAACCTCCTCCCCGGCCCTAGGCGCCCACACACTCCAGAGACCTCAGCCGCAGCAACATTTACCCACTCACGCCCCGGGGCCCCTGGCCGCTGGAGCCCGTGGGCTCGGCTGGGTGCGAGCAGGCACGGGTGGGCGGGGGCTGGCTGGCCGCGGAGGCGGAGGGGTGCGGGGTGCGGCAGCAGGAGACCCAGAGCCACAAATGGCCCCGGCGTCGGGGACATACGGGAGCCTTAAGCAGCATTTGCAAAGTGTGCCCCCCCCCCCCAGCCTGGTCTTTGGGAGATGGCACCAACCCCCACCCCCGCCCCCAGACCTTTGCACGTCGTCCTCCCAGGCCACATCGGAAAGCCCTTACTGGATTCGGGTTTTTTCCTCTCCTCAGGTCCTGTGCTCCTTGTATCTGGAGCCCTCCGCCTCCGGGACTCCCAGCCTTTCCACAATTTGTGACAGTGACGCCACACATCAGCATGGTCCTGGAAAGAACTGAATCCACTGGGGATCGGGTCAGCCCAATGTTCCTCCTCTTTGGGAGTTCATCCCTCCTATCTGTGGGTCTCCCTGCCCCCAACTGTCAGGGCCCTCTCCGAATGTTCATGGGTCCTGTACAGCCCCTCTCTGTTTGAATTTGTAAGAAATCAAGACAGTCTCCTATGGCAAGGGTTGTTGGGGGTGCTGGGGTACCAAAATGACCACGGCTGACCCGGTCTTGTCATCACCAAGCCCACAGTTTGTAAGGGCCGGAAAAACAAAATACATAGACGAACAAGTTAATAGATAACTTGGAAGAGTGGCAATGCTTTCAGGAACATAAAAAAGATGAGAGCAATGGGGTCTTTCATGGGCAGTGACCTGCTGTTGCTGCATCACCCCCCTCCCCGCCCCTGGCCCCAGGTGCAGAAGCCAAAGATTCCAGACCTCCCACATGCATGCGATCTGCCACCGAGTATGCCACGCCGGGACCCCTTCCTCCATGTCAGCAGCTCATCTTGCCCCATGTGCCCCCACCAGTGGCCAGGGGCCACGCTCCTGCCCAGTGGCACTGACGGAGGACACCCAGCCGTCTTGGCCTGTCCTTGATCTCTGACTGTGTGAGGGGATTCTCCCCTGGCTGGGGGGTGGGGCAGGGATGGGACCTGATGTTCTCATCAAGGGTGTGCCAGAGCCAGACACTGCGACCTTGGCCGAGACCTGGCCCTGCCATGGCTCAGCTGCCCCAGCCTGGGTGGTACACACCAAAGGGTTATTGTCAGCCTGGCGTGGGCTCTGAACTGAGAGTGGTTGCCAGCAGCTCCTGCCCCCACCCGACCTGGCATGTCTCCCCAACCCAGAGGCCATGTGCTCGGTGACCTAAAGCAAGTCACTGGCCCTCACTGAGGAGCCCTCTTTTCATGCCCTCCTCTCCACCCTGAACTGGCCTCAGCCTCATCCCCGGCTGCCCACTTCCTACCACAGCTGTCTACCATAAGGCTCCTCCCAGCTCAGACATCCACCAGGACTCCCCACGGCCCTAGGCTTCACTCCTTCAGACCCCACAGAAAACAGGCCATGACCATCCAGAGCGATCAGAGTTCTGATGGAGGGCGCTCAGGGCAGACTGGGGAGGTCAAGGCTGACTTCTTAGAGGAGGAGGACATTTAAATCACACTAGACTAAACAATGGTGAGGAAAGGGGCACGGGGACAGAAGTGGTCGGATGTTCGTGCTATGGGTAAGACAAAGCCCGCCTCAAACGTTTGGTTGGGGAGAGGATCCTGGATGGCACAGGTGGGCCCAGTGGAATCAGAGGGTCATCAAAAGCAGAGACCATTTCCCTCTGTGGTCAAAGAGATGCATGTGACCTGCCATTGCCGGCCATGGACAAAGAGGGAGGAGCCTCGAACCCAGGAATGTGAGTAGCCTCCAGAAGCTGGAAAAGTGTAAGTCAGTCAGAGAAGGACAAATAGCATACAATCGCAAACCATAAAAGTTTTTTTTTTTTTTCCTGTTTTCGGTAGACTCCATGCCCAACATGGGACTTGAACTCAGAACCCTGAGACCAAGAGTTGCATGCTCTACAGACTGAACCAGCCAGGCGCCCCTAAGAGACTCTTAACTGTAGAGAACAAAGTGAGAGTTGATGGAGGGAGGTGGTGGGTGATGGGCATGAAGGAGGGCACTTGCTGGGGTGTCTGGGGGGCTCAGTTGGTTAAGTAGCTGCCTTTGGCCCCGGTCATGATCTCAGGGTCCTGGGATCGAGCCCTGTGTTGGGCTCCACGCTCAGTGGGGAGTCAGCTGGGGTTCTCTCTCTCGCTCCCCCTCTTCTTCCCCCAATTTTGCACTCTCATTCTTGCTCTCAAATAAAGAAAATCTTCAGAGAATTTAAAGAGTAGAAGCTGGAAAAGCAAGAACAGATCCCCCCACCCCCGAGACTCCAGAAGGAATTAGACTGTACCAATACCTTGATTTTAGTTCAGTGAGACCCATGTTGGACTTCTGACCTCCAGAATGAGAAGAGGAAAAGTTGTGTTGTTTTAAGTTGCCAAGTAGGGGGCAATTTGTCACAGAAGCAGTAGGCAGGCTGTACAAATTGGGCCTAGTGCCACAGCAATAGGGTCCCTGTTGGCTGGAGATAAACAAGGGAGTGAACACAAGCATGAAGGCAGGTGGCAGAGCAGAGGCCCTGGGAGCAGCAAGTCTGTGGGGCCTGCAAGGAGGTGACCTTGAGGCTTGCAGGGAGAAGGACCCTTCTGGTGGAAGCCTGGTACAGGATGTGTACCTTGGCCAGACCACATGTGACCTCTCTGTGCCCCATTTTCTCATCTGTAAAATGGGCACAAATCCCGTTACTGCCGATTCCAGCCAGGATGCTAGGGACAGTGCACGGTGCACAGCAGGGGCATGACGTGTGTGTACAGATACTTATTGATTAGCAGATAGGTGTTTGTCCAGGGGAGATGCCTGATGAGTTTTCTTTGCCACTCACCATGATGCCGTGAGACAGGCTTCCATTATACAGAGGGTGGAGGAAGGAAATCACAAAGCCCCACGTTTTTGGGACTGGCATCACTATCAGATAAGCAAGATTCCAGGACCCATGTGCTGAGCTGTGGGGCAAGGCCCTCCTATTCTGGACTGGACAATGATGGCCAGCCCCCAGATTGTGGCTGGCATCGCCCCTCTTCTGGTCCCAGCACCAGATTTTCCTTGGAGTAATCACCTCCTGTGCTCCCAACCCGAAGGATCCCAGGAGGGGGCACCAACCCAGGCTGAGCCAATTAGGGTCATCTAGCATTCAGCAAACCAGGAGGAGTCAGCTCTGAGATTTTTTTTTCTGGGAAAGAGACCCTCACTTCCTGCCTGAGCTGGAGGGGTGTGAGCCTGGAGCTGCTGGTGGCTCCTACCAAGGGCCAGGGAGAAGCCAGGCCCGTGAGACACTGAGCCAAGAGGGGCAGCAGAAATTCCCTGTACTGTGGTTGGAAGTCCTGGATCCATCTGTGCCTGAATTCCTCCACCCCAAGAAGATGAAGTCCATTTAAGCTGAGTGTCCGTCACTTGCAGTGAACAAAACCAGCTTTCACTAAGCCCGATTACATTTTATTCAAGTCGAGCCCTTAGGACCCAGAGCCGCGGATCCACAGGGGCTGTAGGAGTCACCCACACGGAAGTGCCCATCTTTGCCTCCAGGATATAGCCCCAGAGCTCTCAGGGTCACCTCCTCCCACCGTCCTCAATCGGAAGGAGGCCTGCGACAGACGCCCTCATCAACGAAAGGTCTGCTGGCCATGCGCGAGGACCGGCCGCGGTCAGGGCTCCGGCAAGCAGAGCCTTGCAGGTTCTCTCATGGGGCGTGTGATGCTGACAGCCACGGCAGCCACCGAAGCCTCGCGCGTGGCGGCCGCTCCCGGAGAGCCCGGTCGGAGCCGGGCCTGGTCAGCGCCTTCCTGGGGCCGCCCTCCGTCTCCGACGCCACGCGCGGCTCCCCGTGGCCCTCAGACGAAGACCTGGCTTTCCAGCCGGGTTCCAGGCCCTTTCCGCTCATCCAAGCCCCGCCGCCGCGACTCCTCCACGCCACCCCCAGGCCCCCCTCCCCCCGCCACCCGCGGAGCCGCCCCAACCGCCTCCCCGAAGAGGGAACAGATTCTGCACAGGAAGCAGGCAGTGTTCTTTGCAGTTGAAGATAGGGCCCACCCCCAGGCCGGAGGCGAAAGCTGACAGGCCGAACGAATCGACGTAACGTCAGCCACGCCCCTCGCTAGCCATTGGCTTAGATGCGACCATGTGACCCAGCTCTGGCCAACGGTGGGAGAGAGAGGCTGCTGGGGCGGGGCCTGGGGGACGGCGGGCAGAGCGAGGGCGCACGTGACCGGCGGACGCGGGATGTATGTGTCCAGTTCGCTGCTCTAACAAATTAGGGCGTGTCCAGTCGCGCCGCCGAGTCTGCTCGCGGCGCTGGAGGTCTGGAGTCTGCGGCGGCCTCCGCGGCCGACAGCGGGTGTGTCGGGGGTCGCAGTGAGCGGGGCACTGCTGGCCCCGCTGCCGCCCGGGGAGCGGGGGTGGGGGGACCCCTGGCCCGGCCCGGAAGCTGTCACCCTGGGCCCCCTGTGAGAGGGGGACCGTGGACGCAGTCCCGCCCCGGCGGCCGGGCACGGTTCACGGGGTGTCGTGAGCCACGAGCGCAAGCCCGTGGCCAGGCGGCTGGCTCAGCACAGTGAGGTCCCACGCGGGACGGGACAGCGCGCCGCCCTCCGCCGCGCGGTCCCCCCGTCGGTGCTTTTCCCGTGACCCCACCTCCCGCAGGGGGCGACCTCGTCCCCTCCTCCTCTCATTCATGCATCCATTCGTCCTCCTGGCCCATCCTCTGTGTTTGCCCTGGCGACCGTACGGGGAACGCAAAGAGGAAGCCCGAGCGCTCCGTTGGCCTGATCCGAGCCCGTGCCAGTGTGTCAAGGTCACGGAAGCCCGAGCGCTCCGTTGGCCTGATCCGAGCCCGTGCCAGTGTGTCAAGGTCACGGCCAAGGAATCTCCCAGCGGGATGCGGAACCGAGACCAAACCGTGGAGGTGAGCAGCCAGCGTGGATGAGGCTGCGGATGGGCCTGGGCTTCGTGTCTTTGGTGCTGATCACCCCGTTTGGTAAAGTGCTGTTGGTTCAGGTAAAGGAGTAGCCCGCTCTTGGAGGTACCCCTGGGTGTGTATGAATCAAATGAAAAAATAGAAATAAAAAATATAGACCAACAAATATAAATGAAAAGGGAAAAAAAGACATAACTGAAAAAATACAAATAAAAGATTAAAAAGAAAACCCTGCAAAACTGCAAAAGTAGCCTGTTGCCCAGTGGGGCAGTGGCCTGCCTGCTCAGGTCTCTTGCCTGCAATGTGGGTAATCCCTTTCTCTGGCCCCAAAGCCCCCCAGGGCCTCTGAGGCTTGATTTGCACCTGAGTAGGCGAGTACCTGAGCACCCGTACCCCCGAGCCAGGACAGGGCCGTGAATGCTACCAGCTCAACAAGTTGAGTGCCGCTCCAGTCCTAACTTACACGGAATCGTCCCACCAGAGACGAGGTCCTAACACTCACATGGAAAATTAAATAGCTAGAAAAAAGCTCTGAACATGGTCACTCGCCCAAAATCAAAACCCACTCCAAAGCCGGGAAAAAAGGCTGACCCTGGTAGAGGGTTAGGAGAGGCCTTTCCCCCTGAATCGTCCCCACTCAGAGGTGAAAGCTATTGTGTCCCAGGGGACAGAAGGAAACCCAGCAAGAGCCAGAGTCACCTGCCCAGGGGGGAAGCTCAGATGGTTGTTGACTGCTCTGGTAATTTCCCCTCTGCCATGAGGCTCCTGACTCAGCATGGGGCATCGGAAGGAAAGGATGCTCTAGGCAGAGCGGAGGGCACACACAAAGGTCTAGTGATGAGACAGCTGCCCTTTACAGAGGCAACTGCCGGGTAGGCAGGAGGGAGACCCATTTTAGGGATGGAAGACTGTGTCGGAGGGGCTGTCTGTCCTTGTCCTGTAGTGTCTAAGAGGGGAGCACAACTGTGTTGTGGGAAGTCGGAGGGGGGAGGCATGGCCCTGTCCTGGGGGACTCTGTAGGGCCCAGGTGCCACCTACCTCCATAATCCACAGTCAAAGACTTTTCAAGGAAATGCTGGGAAATCCATCAGGAGTCCCCTGTGTTTCATTGTGCCAGGCCATCAGAGCACCCTCCCATCTGTGCCATCAGCAGCATGGCAGCCACCCGGCCACAAATGGGTACCTGAGGGCCCCAGAACCCCAGAGCCACTGGGTTATATGCAGACACTGCCTGAGCCGGCATTCCAATGCCCCAGTTCCAGGGTAGCCTGCAGGCAGGGGCCGGTGCAGAGGACACAGAGGCCCAATGGTCAGGGCTCAAGTCCTAGCCTTGCCGCATGAACTCGTGTGCGCCCTCAGTCTCAAATGTAAGGTGGGGGGGGGTTCTCAATTGCCCTCACGTTGTCGTGCTTGCGAGAAGATTCAACTTCAGCTTCCCCCCTCCCCACCTCGCTACCCCGCACCCTGCTTACTGAGCTCCTCGTCTTACAATATACAAAATCCCGCTTCCTGTTCCCACTGCATTCACGGAGCCCCAGTAGGGGCCAGCACCCAGCAGGGACTCACTAATTATTCACGTATTCAAGAGTCTGTGGGACACTGACTTTAGGCTGAGTCGTGGTCTCAGGTTTCGGGCAATGCCATTGCTCCTCCTGGAGCTGTAGGGGATGGCTCCAGGAGAAGGAAAGGGGGTGCTGGGCATCGGGGTGCAGTATGGGAGGGGACGCCCTCAGGAAGGGGTTGGGGCAGCCTCCGGAGAAGCAAGGAAAGAGAAGGGATAGTGGGAAGGGCACTCCCAGCAGAGGGCATGACCAGACAAGGGTCCTGAGGTGGGCTGCAGCTGGGCCCACCCAAGGGAGCCAGTGAGGCTGGGCTGGGAGGGATGGGCTAGGGGCAGATGAACTCAGGGCAGGCAGCAAGGTCCTGTGAGGACCTGGGAGGCACCATGGGTACCCGTGTGTCCTTCAAGGCTCATGCAGCCCCAGAACCCCGAGGCAGGTTGTGCTATCTGCACCGAGAATGAAGTGAGCCACCCCGGGCCGCACAGCCAGCAATGCTTGGCGGGGCTCGAACACAGGCCTGCTGGTTCTGAGGCCTCTTGGGCGATACCTCATAGACTTCTGCAGAATGAAAGCATGAACGTGTTTGCAGAGTGAAATGAGCTAGGGCTGGGCATGAGACGCCTGAAGCAAACTGCCCTTCCCTGGACCTGGGGTTTCCTGGATTCCCAGTGATGGGACCAGCATGCACTCCAGTGGTCAGAGCAGGAATGCCTTGCAATCACCCCTGGACCTTGAGGGGGACAAGACTGGCTGGCAGACAAGTCCTTGTCCCTAGCCTCTTGCCATTCAAGATTCTTTATACATAGGCTCCGTTTTTAAATTTCTTGACACTCTGGTTCCAATGCCCCGCTTTTGTGGGAAGCCCAACTCCAACCTACTCCTATTTGTTCCTCAAAGCCCTGGCTCAAATGCCCCCTCCCCTAGGAAACCCTGACTGTCTCCCAAGGCAGAGCCAGCACCACCCCCAGGAACCCATCCCCTGGCCCAGTCTCATGGGACTGGGGTGTCTCCTGGAGCCACAGAGCCATTTTCACTGTCTGTTCTCCACGTTGTGTTCTCGCAGGCATCACAAGGTCCGGCACGCAGCAGGTGCTCGGTGAATGTTTTGTTGAGTGGATAAATCAATAAATGCATGATTGGGCTGGACTTAACCTCAGAATCGACCCCAGCCTGTGCTGGGTGATAATGAATTTTTGGCTGACTTATTTTGTGGGATGGGGCAGGGGGTAGGCTTCCTTCGTTTTCCGAAACAAGGCCACCCCTGGCGGGCCAGACTCCCTTATCCCGTGGATCACACTGTGGCACGGAGGCAGTCCTCCTTCAACCCCGGAACTGGCCTGTCCTCTGCATTCAGGGCACGAGTGTTTATGGAATACCTGTGTACCAGGCGCTGTCCTGAGGCCATCTGGGAACGAGACACAGCGTCCCTTCTGTGGAGCCGGCCCTACAGTTTATCAGGTGGAAAGAAGTGCTATTGAGAAAGGCATCCTGGCAGGTGACACATTTGAGCAAAGGCTGGAGAAAAGCGAGAAGAAAGCCACGCCGGTGTCTGGGGTGCACCCGCCAAGGGGCACAGCCAGTGCAAAGGGCCGGAGGTGAGAGCGCACCCGGCACCCCGTACCAGGAGGCACGGTGAGGGGACAGAAGGGCGGGCGCGGTGGTGGAAGACACCACGAGGGAAGTGAAAGCGACAGCCTGTTCCGGAGGAGAGCAGGGGCTCGACCCCACTCCAGGCACCGCCCGCCCCTTGGCCTCCTCGCCGCTTACAGCCGGGCCTCGCCCCCAGCCGCTCCCCGATCCGGGTTGCCAGGGAGACTCGGCCCCCGCCCCTCCCGGGCCCCCGCCCCTGGTCGTCCAGGCCCGGGCCCCCCCCCCCCCCCCCCCCCCGCTCCTGAAACCCCGCGCGAAAGGCGCCCGCGCTGCGTTTGTCCCTCGGCGGCCCCCGTTGCCCGGGCCGGCGCCTGCCGCGCGCGCCGCCAGCCTCGCTCCCGCGCGCTCCCCACCCCACGCCGTGCGTGCCTTGCGTGCCTTGCGTGAGCGTGCGCGGGCGCGTCGGCCGGCAAGGGAGCAGCAAACGGCCGGCGGCGGGCGCCGCGCGGGGGGCGGGCGGCGCGGAGGAGGCGGCAGTGGCCATGGCCGAGGCGTCGCCGCACCCCGGACGGTACTTCTGCCACTGCTGCTCGGTCGAGATCGTGCCGCGCCTGCCGGTGAGGCCCGGGCCGGGGCGGCGGGCGGGAGCGCTTGCTCTCGGCCTGAGGCGAGCGCGCTCCGACGGGGAAACTGAGGCCCAGGAGGCGTCGGCCCGGGTCTCTGCGGAGGTCCCGGAGGCGGGGTCCGCCGCTGGGGTCGCCGCGGTGCCGATGACCCCAGATGCGCGGCCTCCCGCCCCGGCAGGCCCTTCGGTCCCTGCTGGGGAAACTGAGGCCCGCGGAGGCCGCGTGACCTGCGCCCGGCACGCCGCCCAGCAGGAGAGAGGTGGGGGGCCCCGGGGGCCGTTCCTGGAGCGCGTGGTCGGCGCTGCGGGCGCCTGGCTGCGGGCCGCCAGCTGGAGCCTTCCCTCCCGCTTTCCCGTGGTCGCGAATGGACGGGAAGGCGGTGGACCTGGGCCCGGCCTGACAGCTGCCCCGGGCGGCTCTTGGTGCCGCGGGCCTGCGTTTTTGAGCTTCCCTGGAGCTCGGGGCGGGGGCGCTGAGGCCGGCCTTTGGCCAGGTGTTGCTTTCTGCTCATTTAGGCCCACGTTTCCCAAACCGCGTGGTGCGGCAGGGGCTGCTTGTTAAAGGTACAGTTTCCCAGGCTCCTCATCCCGGAGGTCCAGAGTGGGACCCGTGTCCCCCTGCCCCAGGCCGGCAGGGAAAGCGGCGGTCTGGTCCGACCCTCTCCTCCTTGGCAGGTGCGGAAGGTGAAACCCTGAGAAGCTCAGGCCAGCCGTGGCCCTGACGTTTGCTCCTGGGCCGATCCCGCCGGGCAGGCAGAGGGAGGTGTGGGATCGGTGTTGGGACTTACTGAGCACCTCTCCGGGCTCTCCTCACACTTCGACTCCAGCCAGGGTGCGCCCACAGTTGCCTGGCTGGTGGGTGGAGGCCGTTCCCATATCAGAGGCAGACTGGGGTCTGCCTTTCCAGCTGTGGGCACCCCAGGGGGAGGCGTCTGTCCGCGTCATCCCAGCCACAGAGGAGGAAAGTGGGCTAAGCCGGGGTTTGGAGCGGAGAGCAGGGTCTGCGCCCCGAGCCTGGGAAAGGTGGGGAGGTGTGGCTTCCAGAGGCGAGGGTCCCCCTCTTCCTCCGGAAAAGGAGGAATAAAAGGAAACCTCAGATGTGTGAGCACCTGCTGGGGGAGCTGAGACCGGCCCTACTCCCGCCCCTCCCGGAAGTCCCGCTTCTGCCTCCGGCTTTCTGCAGCCCCAGCTCGGCGTCTTTCTCCACCAGGGCGGGAAGGCGCTGGTCCCCTGACAGCTCGCCAGCCTAGCCTAATGGCATACAGCCCCTTGCAGCTGGTCTGAGCCCCGCGACGGCCCTGGGTCTCGGGCGTCCCCCACAGTGGCCTGCTTTGTGCTGGGCCGGGCGGTCTGCACAGCTGTCTGCTCTGGGCCTCTCTCCCTGGGGCCAGCACAGGGCCTGGGTCCTGTCCAGGTGTGGCCACTGCCTGGCCCTGTGGCCTTGGACCTGGAGGACCCTGACCTTTTGTAGTTGTCACCAGGCTGGTGAGGACCTTCCTTAGCAAGGAATCCAGTGGTGTGCAGATATCCTTGGCCTTTGTCCTCAGAGTTCACAGGCTGGGCAGAGAGGCCGTGTTGGATACGTGATTGGCAGGTGTTTGGTTAGGACGCTGGTAGGTCCTGTAACAGCCAGTAGCAGTGAGGAGTGTGCCTGCTCGTGGGCCTGGGGTAGGGTTCCACGCAGCTCAGGAGACCGGCCGTTGATCCACAGGGGGCACGCAGGGGGCGGAAACGCAGGCTCCGTCGACGTGGTAGCAGGGGAAGGTGGCCCCGGGGTTCGCGTGCTGCAGGGCACTGGGGCTGGCTTTTATGCAGTTCCTACCTTGGATTTTTGTCACCACTGAGGTCCCTCCAGAGGCCCTGAGACAGTGCTTGCTTTTAGGGGCTTCTCTGCAGGATCAGGCTGAGGTCGCCCCGAGCTGTGCCATGTCTCCACCATGTGGCTCTGGGCAAGGCTCTCCACTCCCTGGACCTCTGTTTCCTGGCCCGTGAGACGGGTCTGAGGAGCTAACCCGTGTCCGCTCCGTGGGCTCCAGTGGAAGCATGTGTGTGTGGAGGAGCGCCGGCCCTGACCCGCGGGGTGCACAGGGACAGGCCGGCGGGCTCGCTGGGGCGGGGCATGTGGGAGCAGGAACCAGACGGGCTGGCTGGCTTGAAGGCCTCCGAGGCTGGCACACGAGCCCAGACTTGATCCTTCCCAGGAGACGGCCGCGCTCGGGATGCAGCCGGGCTGCCGGCTTGGGTGGACCTGATTGCAGGGCTGTGGACGTGGCGCCTCTGAGGGCAGAGCCTGGCTGTGCCTGGCGTCTGCAGGGCTTCCGGGAAGTCCCACCGGGTGGACAGAGCAGGTGGCAGCGTGGAGTCCTCACTCCCTGAGCTCCCTGTGGCAGGTGGCGCCTTAAGATGGCCCTCTTTCCTCTTGTCACGTGGATGGTGACTGCTTTCCTTCTCAGAGATGTCCTGAGTGCGAGCTCAGACGGAGACCGGGCCTGGAGGGGTGCTGGGGCGAGGAGAGCCAGCCTGCCCTCGCTCTCTTCACACACCCACTGCCCTTGCTCCGGGAGGGGCCTGCAGACGTCCTGGCCTTCAGGTTTTAGCAGAATGAGTGGAGTCCTCCCCACAGAGCCCCGGGGCTGGGCCTGCCTCCCGGGCACCATGTGGCCTCATTCTGGGCCCTCTGGCCACCTGACAGCCGTGTGGGGCCCTGCCCATGGTGAGCTGTCCATTTGCAGCTGCAGAAACCGGGGCCCTGGGGAGGTTAAGGGTGGAACGGACTCCAGTGGCTTGCTGGACACGCGGAGCATGGAGTGGACGTCGGGCACTGGGGATGCCTAGGGAGCCCTGACATGTGGGCTGCCCCCCATCCCGGGGAACGTGGACCCCACCCTGCAGCCCCGAAGAGGGCTAATGTTTGCTCAGGCTCTGAAGTCAGCAGGGGCAGAAGCAGGCTGAGCCCCAAGGAGGTGGCTGGGTGCTGGGGTGAGCCGCGCCCTAGGGCACCCCAGGCCTCTGAGCCACGTGGCAGCTGAAGCGAGGGGACACCCCCAGCACAGTGCGCACACGTATCCTGTCATATGGGCTCCCGGCTAGCCGTGGTGTCTGAAGCACCCTGGGAAGACGGAGGAAGGTGGGCATGGGGACCCCTGGGGGGAAGCGAGTGCTGGGCTGTGTGCGCACATCTTCGGCTCACAGCAGGCCTCATCCTCGCCGGGTCGTGGTATGGCTCTGCACCCAGGCGTCCAGCGGTGTGCACGGCGCTCACAGATGCTCAGGGGCAGATGGAGTGTGGACGTGGGACGTGGTGGCTGCTGCTCAGACCGCGAGAAGAAAGGGCAGCGGGGCTGGGGAGTGGTGAGGGGCAGGGTCTCCTTTCCTATGGGGTCTGGGCAGGTCCCTCTGCCCAGTGACTGCTGAGAACAGCTGCGTGGGGCAGCAGGTGGCTCCTGAGGTCCGTGGGCTGGTGGGGCACAGGCTGGGACGCGGGGCTGCAGGGGCGTGGGAGGCCCATCACGGCTGTGTTTGGGCCTGAGTCTGTGTCCCTGGGGTGCGTCTGCACTGCACTCGGAGTTGTGGCTCCTGCAGGGGGCCCTGAGGGGCCCGGCCCACAGAGCCCAGCGTCACCCTAGAGCAGACCATCCTGTGGGGCCTTGCCTGGCCGTGCTGTGAAGGAGGTCGTAAATGAGGCCGGTGCCTGTTCCCGAGGGCCGTCCCAGCTGACCTGGGCGACCTGGGCGGGTCAGTCCCGTGTCTGCACCTGCGTGTCCTCCCTGTCACTGAGGAGGGGCTGAGTCGCACCTCCTAGGCACGTCGTGGGGGCTGAGCACAGGAGCAAGGCGCTCTGTGGATTGAGTGTCCGTCCTGTCCTCAGTGCTCTGGCCACCGCTGTTGGTGATGATGCTGGGGTGGTCCCCTCCTCCGAGGGGGAGAGGTCACTACTTCACCGTGAGGAGCCATGGGTTAGAGACAGGTGCTCACAGGTGAGGGCTGGGAGCCTGGGGCTGCCACCCCCTGGACCCAGGCTGGAGGGGCAGGCTCTGCCCCGCGGCGGCAAGCACTCCATCCAGGGTGTCCTTGCTGGGTTGCAGGCGTCTACTGTTGGCTACTCAGGTTGAACAAAAATCTCTGGGGTGTGCCCTTGGAGGAGGAGAGCACTGGGACACCCCCAGACCTGGTCCCTTCCTCACTGCATACAGGCAGAGGCTGGAGTCCTGCCTGACATCTTAGGGGGCCCACGGCTTAGGCCAACCTGGATTCGGCCATGGGGCTTGCACGGGGCTGGAGAGCGCTGAGGCAGGGCCCTGACCACGGCCAGCAGCTGAGCCCTAGCCCTCTGGTCCTCAGTGGCTGCTGGATCTCAGAGCCCTAGGGTTGAGGCCATCCTCCATTTACAGGTGGGGAGACCGAGGCTTGCAGCCAGGAGGTGACGTTTGAGCAGAGACCCGACTTCCGAGCGGGGGCAAGCCAGGTAGCTATCCGGGAAGAACGCTGACAAAGGGGATGGTGTGCAGGCCAGGCCGTGAGAAGAGAGGGCAGGTGGAGGTGGACTGGTGGGGCAGGGCAGCGGGGGCGGCCAGGCTGGCCTGTCCTGCGCTGACCACAGGGCAGAGTGGAGAGCAGAGAGTGGGGTGAGGAGCTTGTGCTCCCCGGGGACGCTCAGGAGCGGCCCCAAGCCTCACGGTGGGAGGAGAGGCTGCCTGTTTTGCAGCAGGTCGGGCTGCGCAGTTTGGGCTGAGGCAGCCGACACTCCGAGGCTGGCCGGGGAGGGGGCAGGCGGGGGGCGGACATGGAGGCTGGGAGCGGCCGTGCTCAGATGGGAGGGGCGGCAGCTTCCCACGAAGGCCCTCCCTAGCCCTGCCATCCCACCTGGTGACGGCAGGCACAGGTCTGGTTTCTGTCTCAACCGGAGGGCAGGTGTGGGGCGGGTGGGCTCCAGCAGGGTACAGAGAGAGCCTGGACCTTCCTGCCGACCCTGAGCCGAAGCAGCCCTGGGTGACGCCCGGTACTGTCTGTGACATGGCCATGCCAAGCTGTGGTTTGGGTCCGGGCATCCTAACTGAGGCCAGCCACAGACACCTGCAGCCACACCAGCCTGGTGCTAACCCTCCCTCCCCTAGAGGCTCTGCCAGGCAGTGAGAGCCCGCGCCCTGAGGGCTGCTCCCTCCCTGTGCCGCAAGCTGCCCCGTGCCCCCATGTCCCTGTCATGAGTGCTCCTCCTCACGGCTTTGTTGACCCACCTGCTCACGGCGTGCTCTCCGGTATTTCTTGTGTGCTCAGGAGCCCCGTACCCACCATCTCATCCAGTCCCAGAACATTCCATCAGCCCTGAGGAAACCCCGTCCCCATCAGCCATCCCTTCCCCCAGCCCCTCAGCTCCCACAAGTCCCCTTCCTGCCCGTGGAGGAGCCTGGTCTGGACGTGTCACACACGTGGACTCACACCCCGTGCGGCCTCCTGTGTCTGGTTCCCTCCCTGCGTGTTGTGGGCTCCGGGGTCTGTCCCCAGGGCAGCGCATGGGGGCCTCGCTCCTGCTGGGGCCGGGGACACTCCCGCACGTGGGTGGGCCACATCCCCCTGTGCGGGGACACTGTGCTTGTCACCACCTTTTGGCTGCCATGAGTCGTGTCGCTGTGGACGTGCACTTAGGGTTTGGTGGGACGTGTGTTTCCGTGAGTTCGGCCGTGTACGCAGCCGTGGACTCGCAGGGTCATCGGGTGACTCCGTGTGCAACTGTCCGAGGAGCTGCGGGACTGTTTCCGAAGGGACTCTCCTGCGTCACGTCCCCGCCTGCGTGGCGGCCGGCTCCGACGTCCGCACGTCCTGGCCGGCACTTGTCACTGCGTGTCGGGGTCGGGCTGTCCGGGGGGCCGTGACGTGGCGTCTCCCCGGCTCTGGTTCGCATTTCCCTGCTCCCGACGGTGTGAGCGTCCTGCTGCCGGCATCCTGCCGTCCTCGTGTCTTTGGAGAACCGCCTGTTCTGGTTCTTTGGGCATTTTTGCACTGGGTGGTTTGTGGTTTTGTTGTTGATTGTTAGGGTTTGTGTGAGTCCTGGACACCAGCTCCTGTGGCCTGTGCAGCTTCTTTCCATCTGGCTCAGGCACTGTCCTTTGGGGCCCCCTTTGCTTTTGGCGTGCAGGAAGGTGAAGGGATGTGGCCTGTGCTGTGGTGGCACCCACGGCCCTGACGGAGGGGCCTGGCACTCCCACCTGTGCCCATGGCTGCTCTGGGGCCAGTCCCCCACTGTCCAGTCACGACAGCACCCGTGGGCCAGAGGTGGGAAGGGGGAGTGCCAGTGGGAATGGGGTCACGGGCTCCGTGTGGGGGCTACTGGAATGTTCCAGAAATGCCACTGTGGGTGCCCACAGGCTCGTCCTTGTCCCTGGGTGGCACTTCCCACCTTAGGTGGCCCCCATCCTGGAACTTGGACTGTTGAGGCCTCCATAGTCCTGGGGCCCTACCGGTCACTCCTGCAACCCTTCCAGAGCTTGGTACAGGGGCCTCTCCTCTGTGTGCACGTGGTGGGGAGAGGTGCTCACAGAATGTTTTCTGTCGGTCTAAGTCGGGAGCTGCTCAGTGGGCCCACAGCAGCTGGCCTGCTACAGGCCTTGTCAGAGCCTTTAACAGCTGGTGTGGGTGAGTGGAGACCTTGAAATGACTTCTGTGATCCTGAGGAGCATGGGCCGATGGACTGTGGGATGACAGGGAGGTGACCTGGGAGCCCGGGCCTCACTGGCACCAGGGGCAGCAGGTCCAGGGGTCCCTAGTCATGGAGACACAGAGGTCGTCGCTGTGGCTGATGGAGGTCTGTGCTCATGCCCTTGCCAGGGCCACCCGGCAGGGCCGCTGCCAGTTCTTGATGCTGGCCTGGAGCAGTTTCCCAGGTGTGCCTGGAGCTTGTGCTGTGTGCCACGGCTAGAGGTGGGGGGTCCCGCTAGCTCAGCCTGGGGCAGGGGCCCTGAGACAGCGCTCACCTGCTCTCTCCCTGCAGGATTACATCTGCCCCAGATGCGAGTCTGGCTTTATCGAGGAGCTTCCGGAAGAAACCAGGTGACACTGGCCGGACCAGGCCCCTCGGGGTGCGGGCGGGGTTGTGGCTGGGACACGGGGTGCCGTTCCGCGTGCTGGTTCCGTCCTGGGCGGGCGGAGCCTGGACAGGCCACGGCGGGCGGGCGGGGGTGTGGGGAGTCAGCCTCTGCTTCCCGACCCGGGGCACGGGCAGGGCTTCAGAGGGGCATCGTGGCCCTGAGTCCCGGCGGGGCACCCCTGGTGCTGACTTGCCCCCGTCCTCCCAGGAGTACAGAGAATGGGTCTGCCCCCTCCACGGCCCCCCCAGACCAGAGCAGGCCGTCCTTTGAGGTGAGTCCAGCCCCAGGTCGTGCGCCTTTCCTGCAGGCAGCCACCCAGCCCTCCCCTCGCTGTGCAGGAGTGTCCCCCCGCCTGACCCTTGACCACCGGGCCTGACCTTCCGCCCTCCTCCCACACACGCCAGGGTCCCCCGGCGTGTCCCCATCCCCCAGAGCCCTGGGTCCGGGCGGCACCCCACGGTGCGTGGAGGACGCCTGGGCTCCCAGGTGGCAGCTCAGGGTCCCGGCCTGTGACCACGGCCCTTCCCCCGCAGAACGTGGACCAGCACCTGTTCACGCTGCCGCAGGGCTACGGCCAGTTTGCTTTCGGCATCTTTGACGACAGCTTCGAGATCCCCACGTTCCCCCCCGGGGTGCAGGCCGATGAGGGCAGGGACCCTGAGAGCCGGCGGGAGAGAGAGCAGCACTCCCGGCACCGGTATGGCGCCCGGCAGCCCCGCGCCCGCCTCACTGCACGGCGGGCTACCGGCCGGCACGAAGGCGTCCCCACGCTGGAAGGGTGAGGCGCCTGGGGGTAGCCGGCGGGTGGGATGCTCGGGGGAGTCTTGAGGCCTGCCCCGCCCCAGCTCAGGCGGACCGACCATCTGCCCTTCCGGAAGGTTCTGTGGGCACAGAGGGGTGGATGCTAGCTCTGGGGCTGACCTCTGGGCAGGGCGGTCCCCAGCACGTCCAGGCAGATTTTGCCTCAGCCCACCCTGCTGATGGGGTGCAGACGGGGACCTGGAAGTGTGGCCCAAGGGCCTGAGGACGGGCGAGAACTGGACAGCACCAAGGGCCCTTTGTCCCCTCGGTGCCCCCATCCTTCTGATGGGGTCCCTGCCTCTCCCACACGCCCCCTGCCCGGATGCCCATCTGGTTAGACACAACTGGTTCCCACTCGGGTCCTTGTCTCCCAGGGTGGTTTCTGGCGTCCCTGCTCCTCAGTGGAGCCTAGAGCTCCCTCCGTGCGGGGTCAGCACCAGGGAGGCTTCCTTGTGAGCCGAGGCGTGTTCTGAAGGACGGGGCTAAAAAGAGAACATTCCTCGGCGGGCCGGGCTTCTCGGGCAGATTCCTAGTGGGGACTTGGCCCAACACGGACCTGCGTTGTGTCACTTAAGATGGGCTCAGTTGCGCGGGCAGCCCTGGCACGCTCTGCTCTGTTGGAATCCAGCCCGGGACACAGCCTGGGCTGCGCCGATGACCCTGGTGTCCGGCGTCTGGGAGCTGCCCGGCTCCCCCAGGCCCGGGCTTCGCTGCCACCTCAGCCGGCATGTTTCGGGGCTGCTGTGAACGGGGACCTCAGGGATGCGCCCCGGGTTGTCACGTGGGGAGCAGGTGTGGTTGGTGCTCACAGATGCTGTGCGGGCCTCTGGGTGGGGGGGTGGGTGCTGAGTGCCGGCCGGCTTCCCACTCTGTTCCAGGATCATCCAGCAGCTGGTTAACGGCATCATCACCCCAGCCAGCATCCCCAGCCTGGGCCTGGGCCCTTGGTGAGTAGGTGGGCGGGTCCCCTAGCGCCCTGCCCGGCCCCTCTGCCACTTGAACCCCAGACCTCTCTGCCCAGGGGCGTCCTGCACTCAAACCCGATGGACTACGCCTGGGGGGCCAACGGCCTGGATGCCATCATCACGCAGGTACAGGGTGTGGGTGTGGTGCCTGAGGTGGGCACCGGGTGTCAACATCTTTCCTTCTGCTGAGGATGAGGCTACCAGAGGATGAAAGCGTCCCTGGTGTGGATGCCCTGCTCCCCAGTTCTCCATAACTCCCATCCTGGGGCTGGGGTGCCCCACGTGGACCTCCACGGTGTCCTGAGCTGTCCTTGGGATGGGGTGGTGCCCGTGACCCTGGCGGGCCTTGTGAGGGCTCGCACTGGGGAGGCTGTGGCGCTTGGCCAGGCCAGGATCCAGCGCCTGGGCGGGACCCCCGTTGGCGGGAGGGGTCACCCTGGGTGCAAAGTGACCCTGACTGGACGCACAGATGGGTGGGGAGGAGCGTGGGGCTCAGCTTTGTTGGGGGGGGGGCCAGGGACCTGGAAAAACACAGCCTTGGTGCTTTTGCAGGTAACCCAGCCTTGCATTTCAGAGCCCTGCGGGGCGAGGGGCCGCGCCTGCCTGCCGAGCTCCCGGCACTCTGGCCTCTTGTCTTTCAGCTCCTCAATCAGTTTGAAAACACAGGCCCCCCGCCTGCAGACAAAGAGAAAATCCAGGCCCTCCCTACCGTCCCCGTCACTGAGGAACATGTAGGTGCGTAGCTCTCGGCCGCTGGGCGGCTTTCCCTTTCCCAACACTGCCCCTCAGCAGTGCCCCGCGGGGCGCTCACGGGCTCCTGTCCCGCAGGCTCCGGGCTGGAGTGCCCCGTGTGCAAGGACGACTACGGGCTGGGGGAGCGCGTGCGGCAGCTGCCCTGCAGTCATCTCTTCCACGACGGCTGCATCGTGCCCTGGCTGCAGCAGGTGAGCGGGGGGCCGCGGCTGTGGGGATCCCCCGTGTGCTCTGCCTCTGACCCCTCCCCCCCGTGTCCCCACAAAGCACGACAGCTGCCCTGTGTGCCGGAAAAGTCTCACGGGACAGAACACGGCCACCAACCCCCCAGGCCTGACCGGCGTGAGCTTCTCGTCGTCCTCGTCGTCCTCGTCCTCCAGCTCGCCGAGCAACGAAAACCCGGCCGGCAACTCCTGAGCCCCCGCCTCCCTCCGGCTGGCCCCCAGAGTGAGCACAGGACCCCACCCGCACCGGGCCCTGTGGGGCGGTGGGGGGGGGGGGGCACCACGGAGCCGGAGCCTGGAGGTGCCCCACCTGCCTTGGCTCCCACACCGCCCCCCCCCCGCCGTGGGCAGAGACTCGGAGGACCGCCGCCTCCAGGTTGGCATCTGGCACAGGGGCCTGGGCACACGGCACCCCTGGGGGCGTCCCCAGTTCCCCTACCCATCTGTCTCTAACCTCACCCTCCACACAGCAGCGGCGGAAAGGTTTTTATAATTTTAAATTATTACCGCTTTGAAATAAACGGACGTTTGAGCTCACACGCGGCCCTGCATGATCTCTGGAAAGACCGGGTGGAACCGTGAGGCCGGGGTCTCTGTGATGCCCGGACAGGCTGCCAGTCCCCAGCCCGGGCATCCCCGGCCCAAGCGCAGGGGGCTCGGGACCACGGGATGACCAGCAAAACAAGAACAAAATTGCTCCGACAGACGTTTTTTAAAGGAAAAAAATATGTGTATCTTGAAAGCTATTTAAAAATACACCTACTTAGAGAAGCAGGTGGTTGGTGTTTTCCTTCTGCGCGGGCGCTGGGGGCGGGCTGAGCTGTGGCGCTTCTGCCGGCCGCGGACCCCGACCCGCGAGCTCGCCAGCAGCCCCCCCACCGGAAGACGACAGAGCTTCCCTGGGGGTGGACCCAGCTGCCAGGAAGCCCCAGCCCCCGAGGACCAGCGGCCCCCCCTGCCCGGCCGCCCCCGCCCGCGGCGAGATCCTCTGGTCAGCACGGCCCGGCCGGCCCTGCTCCCCAGCTTCACTCTCCGTGTTCTAAGTGGAAGGTGGCTGCTGAGAGGGTGGGCGACTGCATCCCGCCCCAGGGACTGCCTCCCGGGGTGGCACACCTGAGCCAACCGACCCACCTGGCCCAAGGCTGCAGAGCTGGGCTCTGAACCTGGGCTCTTCCCTCCGCCCCTTTTCTGTGCTGGGGCTCAGCCTGGGGGTGAGGGCTCAGGGGTGCTGGGAGGGCAGCAGGCACGGCCACCCCAGGTTCCCCCGAGCCCCTGGAGGATGCAGGCACGGAGCCCCTGTGGCCTGCACGTGCCCTCCAACTCCCCGACCCACTGCGCCTGCTCCGCAGGAGCGGAGGGGCCCTGGCCGCGGCTGCCCTTCGAGCAGCTTCAGACTGCGCGTGTGTGCGTGTGCTTCTGCGTTCATTCTGTGCCCTGTGACCACCACACCCCGGTTCCCTGACAGTTCGAGGCTCAGAAATACAGAAGGGAAGGCTCGTCGCCTTTCCCCAGGGCCCCAGGGACACCCGGCTCCTGCCCTTTTCTGGCCCGCGGCCCCCCCCATCCTCCCCGCCAGCAGCGCGGGGTCCGCCCGTCTCCGGGACCCCCGCCCTCTGCCTCCCTCTCGTGAGGACTGGTGAGGACGCCGGCCCCCTCGGGAACCCAGAGTCACCCCCACCTTGGGGCCCTGACAAGGTCCCCTCTGCCGCGGGAGGGGACGTGTCCCAGCTCCCGGGACGAGGACGGGGCCTCTCACCCTGCGGCATGTCCACGCCGCCCTCTCTCCCCCAGCCCTCAGACCTTGCTCTGCCCGAGCCTCTCCCAACCTACCTGCCTCAGACACCCCAACGGGCTCCCATCACAGAGCCTTTGCCTAGGCCGTGTCCCAGCCCTTCTGGTGACACATGGCCATGTCCATCATGGGCCTCCGTGGCCCAGTGTGTGACTGGACACCTGTGGCCTCTGCTCAGCTCAGTGTCCACCTCCCCCCCGCTCAGGCACTCCTGAGGGTCAGGTCGTGTCCGTGGGGACCTGCAGTGCCCCCAGCCTGGCATCTAGCCCACACCCCATGAATGTTGGGGAGAAGATGAGTGACCAGACCGGCTTGGCCACGGCCTGGACCTCACCGGCCCCAGGCCCCTGGCTGTGCAGCTCAGGCATCCTGCAGACCTGGGGTCTCAGGAGACCAGGACGGGCAGGAAGTGGGTGGACAGATGGTGCCGCTGTGTCCGGCCGCCACGCCGTGGGGCCCCCTGCCCATCCAGTGCCAGGAACATGGGCCGGCCACGGTGACGCCAGCGGAGCGAGGCGTAGGTGTTGTAGCCGTTCTCCTCGATGCGCTCCTGGAATCTGCAGTGGGCAGTGTAGACCCGCTTCGGGGGGTCGGGCGTGTGAGGCGGGCCCGGACCCCCTGCTCCCCCCCAACACCCGCCCACCAGACACCCCTCACGCTGCACTCACCGACCCGTAGAGGTGGCCCCTGCGGTTCATGGCCACGTAGAAGCCCGTGTGCACAGCCTTGAGGACCACGACTCCCACGCGGATGGAGCGGATCTCAATGATGCCTGGGGGTGGGGGGTGGGGGGTGGGGCAGGGCTCAGGGCCGGCAGCCCACCGTCCACTCCCCCGCACACTCCCACTGGCACTCACGCGTTCACCCAGCCCCTGCCGTGAGTTTGGCCTTGTGCTGGGTGTGCTGACACAGGGGGCACACAGGCCCTGCCAGGAGCACCCCAGGGCGGGAGTGGCAGGGGCAGGAAGGACATTGAAGCCAGTGTGAAGGCCTGAAGCAGGATGGGCCCTGCGGTGGGGGAGGGGGGGGGACTCAGGGCGATGATCAGCTCCATGGTGGTCACTGCCACTGCAGGAGCCCCATATGCCAAGCACTGTCCCCCACAACCCCAGGTGGGAGGGGCCGATGTGCCTGCTTCCCAGAGAGGGAACCTGAGGCCTGGGAAGTGGCAGATGGGAGACCCTGGAGAAGACTTGCCTACTTGGAGTGGTCCAGCGAGGCTGACCCAGGGGATGACCAGGCCTATTCTGGAGTTCAGGCCTCGCCTTCTGGTCTTCAGTCTGGACTTGGATGCCTAAGGTGATGGGGAGCTCACCCCATGTCACATGGGGTCTCTGTACCTGCTCTCTCTCCTATCAGGCACCCAGCTCCTTCTCTCTACATGAGAATCAACTCAAGCCCACCTCCTTGGAGAGCCCCCAGACTTCTCCGGTAAAGCTGCCCCTCCGTCATCTCATGTACATCATCCGGTTTTCATTTTCTTTGCTCCCTACATGGCCACCCGTGAAATTACTGCATCAGTCATTCACTTGTTTAACAGCTTTACCCACTGCTGTGGGAGCCCCATGATGGTGGGCTGTCCTGGTCGCTGCTATGTGCCCCCTGTGCCCACTACAGCATACAATAGGTACCCAGTCAATACCCACAGAATTAAAGAAAGAGAAAAGCTCCAAGAGCCTCCCTCCACAGAGCTGTCAACCACGTCACCACCATTGCTGCCCAGATGGGGAAACCGAGGCTCAGAGAGAAGCAGTGACTGTCCCAACCCACCCAGGAGATCCAGGCCCCACACCCAGCCTGAAGACACCCTGCCTCCCTGTGCCCACCACCGATGGACTGGCCCAGCCAGTCCCCTTGTCGTTGTCCTTGTCCGGTGAGCCTAATGAGAGCCTTGGGCGCCCAATGAAAGCAGATGGAAGGGCAGGGGGTGATTACCTGCCCTAATGGTGGTGATTCAGGTAGTGGCCAGTGATTAGCCATCCCCAGTCTGGGCCTCAGAGCTCTGGGCAGACCAAGACAGGGCCGCAGGGTCACGGAGGCTCTAGATCCCCAGCAATCCCCAGGCTTCTCCTTCTCCTTTGCCCCCCTGCCTCCTCTTGCCTCCTACATTCCACATTTATTGAGTGCCTACTGTTTGCTGGGCAGGGCGTCAGGGACAGTAATGCCAACTTGACAAGGTTCTGGGCATTAAGGAGCCCCAGCAACACCCCCACCCTGACCCCAGCAGTGTGACCCTTGGGCAGGTCATTTTCCCTCTCTGTCCCTCATCTACCAAAATGATGTGTGGGAAGCAAGACAGGGGTCCCTCAGTCCAGCAAGTTCTCAGTTTGGATGTGCAGTGTGGGGAGTCCAGGGCTCAGACCCTAGCTCTGCTTCCACTTCTTTATGCAGCCCGGGCCTGGGATGGGGGCTTCCAGGAGCCGCCATCTCCCCCCTGTAAAGAGACCCAGGGATCCCAGCCTCAACTACTGTGCCGCGGAGCCGGGCCAGCGCTAGGCGCTTCCTCTGCGACGCTTACCTCAACTGCCCAGCCCTCTCAGCGCGGGCGCTGGACCCACTGCACAGCTGGGGAAACTGAGGCCCCAGCAGACACCACACACCCTTACGGGACAGAGGACCCGACTGGTCCTTATCACCGCTGCTGCCCCTGGTCCTTCCCGCCGGCCTGTCTGCCCCGCACCCCTCCCCGAACTCACTGTCGGCGCCGTGGCGCCAGCGGGTGCCCTGCACGCGGCCGCTGGTGTCCACGCGCAGGAAGAAGTGCGTGGAGGAGAAGAGGCGCCGCCAGCGCACGTCGCCCTCCAGGTGCGGGTAGCTGCGTGGTCTCCGCGGACTGCCTGGGGTCCCCGCGGCGCCGGGCGCCCGTGCCAGCAGCAGCCACACCAGGCCCAGCCACAGGCGGCCGCGCATCGCCCCGCGCCCGGATCGCCGCCGGCTCTGCCTCCCCGCGGCGCGTCCGCGGCTCGGCCATCGCCGGGGCGGGGGCGGGGCGCCTCTGCCGGGCCAGCCCGCGCGGGCCAATAGGGAGTCCGGGGGGCGTGGCCTGCGCCGCAGGGGGCGGGTCAGGGGAGACAGGGCGGGGCCGTGGGGCCAGGAGCCGACCAGTGGAGAGGCGGCGGCAGGACAGTGGGCGGGGCGTCGGGCGGGCTCAGAGTCGCGGGGGCGGGGCGACGAGTCGACTGGGCGGGGCCAGGGTGCGGGGCGGGGCCCATTCGGGAAAACTCTCCTGCCTCCGCGCGTGTTTGTCTTGCGGGGCGGGGAGGGCAGTGCGTGTCCGTGAGTCACCGGCGTAGCCTGCAGGGGCTGCGGGGGTGTGGGTGTGAGAGAGGCGGGCCCGCAGAGACACGGAGGGAGACAGAGACACAGACAGCTCCAGGGAGAGACGCGGGAAAAGGCTGCGAAGAGTCCTGTCTGTGAGGGACAGGAAGCTGGGCAGGGGGACAGGGAGCAGTCAGAGACCGGGGGGTGGGCGGCTCTGGCCTGCGTGTCTGCGCCAGCCAGGCCTCTGCACTGGGCATGCCTCGGGGGGCCTTGTCTACTCCCCAGGAGGCAGGCCCTCATGGTCTTCCCTGAGGAAGAGGGGCTGAGGGCGGACCCGCATGTGTGCATGTCTGTGGCCAGCCGGCAGGGCATGGACGATGACTGGGGCCAGCATCCCATCCCCATCGTCCTCCAGAGCTGCATGTCCGAGGAGGATGGCTCCCTTTCCACCCACACCTGCTTGTCATTTACAGACACACCCAAGCCCCACAGGGAGCCACTCCTCGTCCTGGATCCTGACAGGAGCACAGTGAACCCCCATGAACTCAGAGTCGAGAGACATCATTGACAGGTGCGGGAACTGAGGCCCGAGGGGGTCAGCACCTTCCCCAAGGCCCCACACAGGCCACATCCCAGGACTTGAGTCCCTGCCCCTCTGCTCCCCTAGGCCCAGTTCTACAGGCAGGGCCCCAGGTGGCACCTTTTAAGAGCACCTGAGCGAAGACAAGGTGACAAGCCTGGCCCAATGGAGTGCTGGAGGGGTAGGCGGTCTCGCCAGAAGCCAGGAGGTCTTCCTGGTGGCTCTGGGGATTCCCTGACCCTTCCTTCTGGTCCCAGGAAGGCCATGTATGGGGTGTGCCCAAGCCGCAGGACCCCAGGACTGAGATGGGAGAGGGTGTGCCCAGAGCCCTGCGGCCAACCCCTGAGGGATCCTGCGTATCTGTGTCACCTCCCCAAGCCTCAGTGACACCTCTGAAAAATGGGCCAGGTGAGAAGGCTGGAAGTAATGAGGTAATCCACAGCATCACTGGGCAGAGAGTGCAATGCACAAACTTGGAACAACATCCTGATTCCCACCAGCCAGAAACTCAGTCTTCCCTTCCTGGAGTGTCCCCACCCTGCCCTCCAGGAGGACAATCTTCGGGGATCTGTGTGATGGCGGTGGGACCCACGCCCAGGGACGCCCAGGAAGCTGTCCTGCCCCAGGAGTTGTTGGAATTTAATAACAGCTTCATTGAAATAAAATTCACATACCACACATTTCACCCATACAAGTGTACAACTCAGTGTTTTCAGAACAGGGCTGTCAGCTGTCACCTCTATCTAGTTCCCAAACATTCCATCACCCCAAAGGAAACCCCATCCCATCAACCATCACTCCCCTAACCCCCGGCCCTTGCGAGCTCCCTTCCCGTCCGTGGAGGAGCCTGGTCTGGCCGTGTCACATGAGTCCATGCATGGACTCACGCCCTGTGTGGCCTTGTGTGTCTGATTCCCCTCCTGTGCATTGTGGGCTCCGGTCTGTCCCCGGGGCGGCACATGGGGGCCTCACTCCTGCTGGAGCCGGAGATGCTCCCGCGTGTGGGGGACGTGTTGTCTGTAACATTCTGCCGACGGACACTATTCTGGCTGCTGTGGACGGTGCTGCCCCGGACCTGGCTGTACAGGTTTTTATGTGGACGTGTGTCTTCACCTTTCTCGTGTATATGTATAGGAGCAGAGCTGCTGGGTCATGTGATCACGACTGTTTCCCACGGCGGCTGCCCCAGCCACCTCCCACCAGCAGGGCGCCGGGGTTCCGATGTCTGCTGTCCCCAGATGCTGGCGAGTGCCCACTGTCTTGGCTGTAGCCATTGTAATGGGGGCAAAGTGGTGTCCCTGCGAGCACCTTGCGCCTGCATCCCCGGTTCCGTCCGTTTTGCTCTCCGTCAGCAGGAGGCTGAGTAAATAGTGCGGCAACTGTGCCCCGGAAACAAGAGCGTGCACGAGTCTCACCCAGGAGGTCGTTTCTGTCACAGTTCTCAACGGGCAAAACCAAATTCAGCATGAGGCATCAAGATGGGGGGCATCACGCTGGCAGCCAGCGACGGGGCTGTGATGGGTGCCGTGGGCTGGGTGCAACATCGAGCTGTATTCCTGACATGTGCAGTGTGACGTCACACCTCGAGAAACGCACAGGTGCAACCATTTTATGTAAGCGGCTATTTTAGAACGAGCCCCCGAGCCACTGCCACCTCATCTCCAAACACGTGGACGTGTCTCCTGCGGGTGTGACCAGCCTGTGATCCAATCCTCCACCCGCGCTCAGACAGCCCTTGCTGTCCCCATGACACCTTAACTTCTCCCTCGTGACAAACGCAGGCTAGTCTGCGATCAGCTGAAGAACGACCCTCAGAGATGGGCCCATATTCTCCTCCCAGGCACCTGTGGAATCTACCTCATCGGGAGTCTTGGTGGGTACAATTAAATTCAGATCACCCTGGGGCGCCTGGGTGGCTCAGCGGGTTAAAGCCTCTGCCTTCAGCTCAGGTCATGATCTCAGGGTCCTGGGATCGAGCCCCGCATCGGGCTCTCTTATCAGTGGGGAGCCTGCTTCCCCTCTCTCTCTGCCTCCTCTCTGCCTGCTTGTGATCTCTGTCTGTCAAATAAATAAATAAAATCTTTAAAAAAAATAAATTCAGATCACCCGATGAGGAACTGTCCTAGCAGGCCCCAAGTACTGTCACAAGTGTTTTTATAAGAGAGAAACACAGGGAGATTTGACACGGACACAGAGGAGGCCACGTGACCACGGAGATGGGGACCAGAGGGGCGCAGCCACAGCCAAGGGGTGCCTGGAGCCCCCGAAGCTGGAGGTGGCGGGAACGACCCTGCGCCTGGAGCTTCTAGCGGGAGCACGGCCAGGCAAGCCCTTGATTTCAGCGGACACCGAGGGTGGGTGTCTGTGGGGTTGGTTTCCAGAAAGGGAAGAATGCGTTCCCCTTGTTGAAGGCACTAGGTGTGTGGTAATTCAGGTTTTTTTTTTTTTAAGATTTACTTATATATTTTTAGAGAGAGAGAGAGCAGGGAGGGGGAGAGAGAGATCTCAGGCAGACTCCACACGGAGCAGGGCCTCGTTCGACGCGGGTCTCGGTCTCACGACCCTGAGATCACAACCTGAGCGGAAACCGACCATGCCACCCAGGTGCCCCGGTTTGTGTAGCTGACTACAGGCAGTCCCAGGGATCCGACAGCCTCTCCTTCCCTCTAGAGATCCTTGACTTTGTCGACACGGGCCCAGCCCAGGTTCGTGGGAACATCTCGGGGCAAGAATTGGACCAAACGTTTTGGGTGAGAACCTGAAGGAAGCAAACAGCGTCTGCAACACAGTGTCCCCCGAGCCCCATCCTCTGACGCTCTGCTTCCCATGCAGTCATACCTCTGCCCACCGGCCTTGTGTGTTATTCCCGTTTTTCTTGCTTACGTTTTACAAGGAAATGTGATCTCACCATGAGGAGTGGAACACCAGAGCCATGCATGGACTTAAGCCATAACAGGAGACGCGGCGCGGAGAGAGCCCTGGGACCGCAGCTTCGCGGGCAGAGAGCCGAGTCCGAACCAGGCAGGTGCGGAGTGACACCTGCCACGGTCGAGCGGGAGCAGAAAGAATGACCTCCTCACTCCTCGTTCCCGGAGCCCAGCCCTTGGGGAAGTACTGATTGAGGGCATCTGATGTGCCAAGGAACAGGAGAGGGAACGGAGACATAAAGAATTCCGGAATGTGGCCGTTCAGCCCAGGTTCCTGGCTCGGCCAGGCTACGGGGGCAGGGGGGTGTCAAGGGGGTGTCAAGGGGGTGTCTCTAGGTCTTGGGAGACCGGCTCCAACTGATTCAGCCCCCAGGGCCAGGAAGGCACTCCCAGGTGTGAGTCAGCTCTGAGGCCGAGGCCCCCAGGGCATCTTGGAGTGGGCTGGGGCAGGTTTTCGAGGACGCTGCCGTCTGCGGAAGACATTCCCAGCCGGTGGAATCATAGCGCGCGAGCCCGCGTGGGCAGCCGCGTCTGGAATGTGCTGTCAAGAGGCCCCGGGCCCAGGAGGCTGGCCCTCCCAGAGCACAGGTCCAGCTTCTACTTGGGGCTGATGCGGTAACCAAGTCTGAGTATCTGAGGGCAGGCGGCAGCTTGAGCCCTGGTCCCTGAGGTCCGCCGTGGTCTGGCCAGAGGGCCTCTCTAGCTTAGTCTCTGCTTCCTCCCCCTACCTCCGACTCTGCTCAAGTTCCTCCAGCTGCGTACACCTGACTTGGCCTCAGGGCCTTTGCACTTGCTGGGAACACTGCCTGGAACACAGCTACCCCAGAGTGGTCTTCTCACCCTTCCCATGCCAGCTGATGCGCTCTTCCTGGTCTCAGTCTCCCCAGTGCCCTCCCAGTCTGATTCTCACGCCGGACTGGGGTTGCCCTCAAGGCGGGGGCTGGGAAGTTCCAGGCTCCGCGGATTATCTCATCCCATTCGTCATCCAATCAAAATGGGAGGTTCGTGCGCTCCAGGTGCCCCCCCGGAGCCCGGGAGCTGACTGGTGCGGAAACTGAGCCCGAGGGAGTGGCCGAGGGCGATGCCCCTGGTTTGGGGCCCCCCTGGATACACAGCTCCCGCCCCACAGTCGACACTGGGGCGCTGAAAATCGCACCAGGAATCGCTGCTAAAATTGCAGAACGCCGTCCTAATAATTTGGCGACCATTGCTTTGAAACACACACACACCCGAGTCTCACACACACACACGAGTCTCTTACCCGAGTCACACCTAAACACCCGAGTCTCACACACACACACCCGAGTCTCTCTCACACACACACACACACACACACACACACACACACACACACACCCCTCTACCTCCGAGTCACGTGGGTACCCAAGCAACGGCTTCGTCCCGCCCCTCCCTGGCAGAGGGAAGAGCCAATTAGAGGGCTCCTTCGGCGCATGCCTCCGCGCCTCCGGGGCCCCGCTTCTCCCTGGGAATTGTGGTTCCGGCAGCCTTCTCCCGCCGCGCGGTCCCTTCGCAGCTGCCGTAGGAGGCAGAACTACAACTCCCGGCAGGCGCGGGCGGCGCAGGCGCAGTGCACGCGGCGCGGGCGACGCGTTGGGCGGTGTGCGGCATGTCGGCGCTTCGCTGGGGCCACGGCGCGTCCGGTCTCCGGAGAGCCCTGTGGCCGGCGGGCCGCCCCGGCCCCATGGCCGAGGAAGGTAACGCGGGGGGAGGCCCGGGAGCGACGCCGTGGCCGCCGCCACTGCCCCGTCCCCCCGCGGCTGTGACCTTCGGTTTCTAGGCCGTCGGGACCCAGCCACCCCCTACCCTTGCCCCTTGCCCTGTGGGGTTCTGGTTTTGGGGACCCCGCTTTCACTCGCCCTTGGGCCACCCTGCGGACCGGGGTAGGGAGAGCACTTTGACGTTGGGGTCCTGTTTCTTTTGGAGTCCCTTGACTCCTTATTTGGGATTTAGGGCCCGTGGCCTTTGAACTCACTGCACCTTTAGTTGGAGGAGCCCGTTGTCTTCGGTCCCACGGCCAGATTTTCCTTGCCCTGCGGTCCCCTTCACCTTCGCCCTCTTGGTTTCTTGGCAGTGCGAGGCCGTGACCGCCGACGGTTTCCACTGCGCTTAGAGTTCTTTTGCTCCCCGGATCCTGGGTTTTCTTCCATTCGAGGACCTCCCAGCGCCCCCCAGGCAGTGGGCTTCCTTCTGCCGCCCCCAGCCTCCCTTTGTCCCCCACAGGGGCCTTCAGTGCTGTCTGGGGCAGCAGAAGGAGCTCCTCTGCTCGTCCTTGTGAGCAAGACCGCCGGAAAGACTGGGGCCATGCGGAGCTGCTGGAGGGTGAGCCCAGACCCCCAAGGCTTAGCGCCTGAAGCCCCTCCCCACTGCCCCCTGCATGGGCCACTCTGCCAGGGTTGCCTCCCCAGCTCCTCCCCGTGAGCCCGTGAGAAGGGACGGCCTGCTGTAGGACAGGGTAACCGATGTGGTCCCGTGAGGATGATGACAAGAGACTCGATTAGTGTTTCCCCCTACCCCAAACCCAGCAGGTGCCCCTGCTTTCCAGGTAAGATAGCTGAGGCCCAAAATTGAGGCTGGAGAGGCTGGGCCAAGGCTGCACACAGCTGCTCACACAGAGCGGGGATTCGATCCCTGAACTGACCCATGCACCTGGGCCTGGCTTCCTGGGCTTGGGCACCTGCAGGGCCCCAGTCGGGGTCCTCCCATCTTCACAACCTGGGAAGAACAGTGCAGTCCTGGCACCTCCAGAGGGAGGTGGGAGCATGTGTGTCCCAGACCATGTCTAGCACATCCTGCTTCCCCTCCAGCAGCCAGGGGTGGGGTGGGGGAGCCTCTAAACAGGAAGACTTTATTTCAGGAAATTCCAAACATGCAGACGGGAAGTACCACCGTTCTCACCTTTCTCACCCACCACCTACTCATTTTAAAGCAAAGCCCAGGTTCCATTATCATTCAACTGTAGGAAGGTTCTGGAAGCCTGAGTCACATTATGTCATTCTCTAGTCTAAAACTCCCAACTGTTTCCTCTCACATGGACTAGACCCCTCGCCCCCACCCCCTGAGGGCACAGATCCTTGTGGCCTTTCCTGCCTTAGCAGCTAGAAGGAGCTCTGGCCACCGGGTCAGCTCTGATGTTGTTGCCTCCGGGAGAAAGCCCGTGCCGATGGCCCTGCTCCAGGGTATGGGTCTCCACGTGGGTATTCTGAAATACTTGTCCGGGTGTTGGAGCACTCTTAAGGACCAAAGTGACGCTGTCTTTCCACTTTATCTCAGCAACCTTCTTTTTTTTTAAGATTTTATTTATTTATTTGACAGAAATCACAAGCAGGCAGAGAGAGAGGGGGAAGCAGGCTCCCCGCTGAGCAGAGAGCCCGATTCAGGGACTCGATCCCAGGACCCTGAGATCATGACCTGAGCCGAAGGCAGAGGCTTAACCCACTGAGCCACCCAGGCGCCCCTGTCTCAGCAAACTTCTGTTGAGCCCCTGCTGTGTGAGGCCAGCTCTCCCGTCAGCTGGAGTCCAGCGGGAGGGGCACGGGCAGGTCCAGTCTCTCGGAAGTAATATTTGCAAAGTTTCTGCGTAACGCTGAGATCAGGACTCAGGCGCTCACGTAGTTACCTGCAGACACACACAGAGCTGCAGACATGTCTGCCCCCGGCCGGTGAGCCAGGTGACATGCTGTCCTGTTTCACGCATGCTATAAGCAAGTGTCCTTTCCGAGGTACGAGGTATGTTTAGTGCCACATGGTTGTTGTTTTTAATTTAAATCTGAATTTGTTTTTTAGAGGGAGGGCTCGGGAGCGGTGGGGAGGGGCAGAGAGAGAAAGAGCATGTCTCAAGCAGGCTCTGTGCTGAGCACAGAGCCTGTGACTTGGGGCTCAGTCTCACGACCCTGACCCTAACCCTAACTGAGCCGAAATCAAGAGTCAGACTCTGAACCGACTGAGCCAGCGAGGTGCCCCGTTTTTGCATTTTTGGACTTTTGTTGGTGATTTTGCTGCTTAAAATGGCCCCAAGTGTGGTGGTGCTTTCTAGTGTTCTAAGCTGTATGGGGTTGTGCAGGAGTGAGTTGCAGTGTTGTTGGCTGTGGGCTCAGTGTAAATGAATCAACACGTATGTGAAATGAGATGTCTCAAGCAGAAAGGCCTCGAACAGGGTCGTGCGTTGGTCTGTTGGGGACCTCATGATCTGTAAAGTCATCGTGGCACAGGGCTAGCAACTGAACATGGCTCCGAGGAAACTCAGGGCCACCTTGTCCCCCACCACATACCCATACCCATCAGGAATAGTGTGTGCAAAGGCCCTGAGGTCGCAGTGGCTGTCTGGAGTGATCGGCGTGCGGGGGAGTGAGGGGAGGGCAGGGGGCATCCTGGCACCCGGATAGATCCTGAAGGCAGAGGCACACCCCTGAGGGTGTGCTGATAGACAGGGTGTGGAGGGAGAGGGGGCCTAGATGACCCTCCGGCTGGGCACCTGCAAGGACAGTTCTGCCAGGGACAGATGTGGAGGAACAGGTTTTGGGGGGACACTGGGAGCCTGCAGACACAGGTGCTGAGGAGGTGGTTAGGGTGTGTGTGCCTGAAAATCGGGGGACACGAGTTGTCATCAAGTACATAAAGCCGAAGCCTCAAGAGCTGGTGAGACCAGCCTCTCCCAGCAGAGCAGGGTCTGGGGGGGCTGGGGCTTGAGTGGGGGTCCCCCCGCCATCCTTGCCCTTTGCCCCCACAGTGCTTGAGGCGCGGGTGCGGCAGCTGCAGGCCGAGGGTGTGTCGGAGGTGATGGTGAAGAGGGTTGGCGTGGCTCGACGACTGCCAGCATCCGGAGGCTTCCAGCCCCCTGGGAAGGCCCGGACAGGGCGCAAGGGCCCTGCCGCGGACCTCGGCGACCTCTGGGCCCAGAAGCTGAACAAGGAGAAGTCTGCGATGCAGAAGCGGAAGCTGCGGCTGGAGGGGAAGCTGCAGCTGCAGGCCCAAGACCTGGATTGTGAGCACGAGCTGCGCGTGGTGCCCCGCCTGCTGGACGCCCAGTTGGCTGGCTGCCTGCAGCACTGGGAACACGGGCCTCCCCAGAGCCTCCAGGAGGGGCAGCTGGCGCAGCTGCTGCAGGAGGCCCCGCGGCGGCCGAGTCCCGAGGAAAAGCCGGCCCGAGAGGCCAGGGGCGCCGACATGCGGCTGGAGATCCAGCAGCAGAAGCTCCTGGCCTTCTTGGAGTGTTGCCTGCTCACGGGCCACCTCCCTCTCGCCCACCACGTGCTGGTCACCCACCACAGCCGGGCCCGGCAGCGGCGCCGGCTCACGCTGGCCATGTACAACACCGTCATGCTCGGCTGGGCTCGCAAGGTGAGCGGTGGCCCCCGGGGGAGGTGTCTCCGCGGGAGTCGAGGCCCGAGCGGCCCTCACATGCGAGCCCGGCTCGGGCTGCTTGTTGCCGTCCCGACGGTTCTCTCGGGCTTGTCGAGGGGAGATCACGTGTGTCCCTCAGCGGAGATCTCGCAAAGAGCCATGGAAGAGGGAGGAGACCCTGTGGATGTTCTAGTGTCTCTCCTCCTGGACCGCTCGGCTGGGGCTTCTGTACTTTCCGGCGTCCCCTTCCTCGACACTGCGACTTTGAGGCGTTAGGTCCCTTGCCCTGAGCCAGAGGGTTAGCTTTTGCTGTCACACGCCTTCCTCCTTCAACACGGGCGCTCGTGGCCGCAGACTTCCTCCGGGCTCTGCTCTAGCCGGGCCCCGTGTCTCCACGTTCTCTTCGCTTCCCTGGTGCTGTTGTCTCTTCTGATGCTTTGGGAGAGTGTTGTGTCCGTGCCCCTGCGAGGGCCCAGCTGCCCCGCTTCCTTCCTCCCCCACGCCTGCGGCCCTGTTTCCCGGCCAGCAGGAACCGTGCAGACCCATGAAGGAGACGGTCCTGTGAAGACGGAGGTGTGGGCACGGCGAGCCGGTGGGGGTGGGTGGGTGGAAGAGGAGGTCGGCTGCTGGTGGACGTGCCCTGCCTCCTGCACGGACTGGGCGGCATGCCCAGGTGCCCCGGTCTCCCATAGGTCTGCATTGCACTGTGACATGCCACGGAGATGCCCGGCGTGCGTGCGTGACCGCTACGGGCGGTTTCTTGCCCCCACTCATCCCCTGGAGGCATGCTAGGCTAAGGGAGTTAGTGAAGACAGAAGAGCTGTGTTCTCCCATCCAAGGTCACAAGCCTTCCAGGTCCCCCAGCAAAGATCTGTTACAGTGGGACGTTCCTGCCAGGAGCCCATGCGTCAGCTTCCTGGTCCCTGGGACAGATGACCGACATCTGACGGCTTCAAGTACTAGGGATTTACTTTCACTTCCAGATCCAAGTGGGACAGGGCTGCCCCCATTCCCGAGGCTCTGGGGAGGGGCCTTCCGGCCTGTCCCAGCTCCTGGGGATGCCTGTGGTCCTGGGCGCGTGCCTGCGTCCTTCCAGCGTCTGCTTCCGCGGTCACGCAGACACCTAACCAGTGAGACGCTCGGGCAGATGGCCTCATCCAAACTGGTCGTGTCAGCAGAGGTCCTGTTTCCCGGTACAGCCCTTGTTCTGAGGTCTGGGTAGATGCGAATTTGGGGGTGTTTCTAGTCAGCCCGCTGCAGGCCCTGATCTGCCTTGTGTGCTGACGTCACGGCCGTCACTGGCTTCGTGAGTCGTGGCATCCAGACGGCCCGTGTTGAGATGGGGCTTGGCTGTCACCCAGACTCAGGTCTGAGTCTCGTTTCTGCCTCGTGTCCACTGTGTAGCCTGCATTGCTTGCTGTCCTCTGATCCTTGGTCTCCCCATCTGTAAAGCAGGGAGCCCTGCTGCATTCTCGGGAAGACCGAGGGACCGGATTTAGGGGTCTGACCACCACCTGCGTTTAGGACAAGGGCAGGAGAACACGTGAACTTCAGAAGCACGTGTTTTCCTGTTGAGGACGCTACTGAGATTCTGTCCACACGGGATGGACGTGCTTATTCTAGAGCAGCGCCGTCCAGTAGGACTTTCTGATCTGCACCAGCCACGTGTGGCCCCGGAGCCCTTAAAGAGCTGAGGACCCACAGAGCAACCATGTGTGGCTGGTGACCGCGAGGAGGGCAGCCTTCACCGGGTCGTTCGGACACGCGTCTCGGGGCCCTGTGGCTAGCAGTGTGCCCCCCACGACGCGACAGCGGGCCTCAGAGGAGGGCAGCAGGACTGTGGGTGGAAGAGGGCCGGAGTATCGCCTTCTGGAAGGGCTCCATGGCAATGCTGCCAAACCCTGCGGGGCAGGGGAGTCAGCCACTGCTCGGACACGCATGGAGACGGGCAGGCGGCGTGCCCCGTGTCAGCGGAGTCGGGGGAATGGAGAGCCACAGCGCCCGCCCAGCCGGCAGCCTCTCGTAGCGAGACTGAAGTCATGCCCGTGCAGGAGCTGGAAACATAACACGGCCCCTCGGGACCCCAACCCCCTCCCCCAACCCCACCGCGGTGTCCTTGCACGCTGGCGCTATGTCCCGGGACTGCACGGCGATGTCCTGGCCAGCGAGCCTTTTCCTGCCTGACTTGCTGGCTGTAGAGAGCGGTCTCGAGGGGCAGGCCAGCCACCTCCAGACCCTCACCCCAACTTGGTCTCCCCAGGGCTTCTTCAAAGAGCTGGTGTACGTGTTCTTCATGGTGAAAGACGCTGGCCTCACCCCAGACCTGTTGTCCTATGCGGCTGCCCTGCAGTGCCTGGGACGCCTGGACCAGAACACCAGCACCATCCAGAGGTGGGTGGGCAGCAGAGCCCTTGCGGGGGGCTGGACCCCCTCTCCTGCAGTCCCCTGTGGCCACCTGGTGTTGAGCCCCATCCTTCGGATGGGGCTGTGCCCACCGTGTGTCCCTGCAGGTGTCTGGACCAGATGGCCCGGGATGGGCTGCAGCCACAGGCGCTCTTCAGCAGCGGCGTCCCGCTGTCCCCGGAGGAGCAGGCCATGGTCCTGAGGGCCATGCGCAAGGCCCAGCCCACGTTCAGCCCGCCGCCGCCGCCGCCGCCGCCCCCACCCCAGGTCAACACCTCACCGCTGCTCAGGGAGATCTATGCCAAGGTGAGCAGACCCTGAGGCCGACAGGTGGGGCGCCGTGTCCGGGGGGGGTGGAGCCAGGGCTGTCCTTGGGGGGGTCTCCCGGGGGCCTCGGCCTCTCCTCCTCTTTCTCTCAGCGCCACCTGGCTCCCAGCGCTGCCCTCACTGCTTCTCAGGGGCCCGACAAGCCAGACTTGGCAACTCCTGGCCCTCAGCAAGGTCCTGACCCGAAAGGAAGGTGCCCCGGCCCTGCTGGTGTAGGTTTCCTTCCTGGAGGTGCCATTCCAGGCAGAGCCAGTGGTCAGTGTCCGGAGCCCGGGTGGCCGAGAGCAGCAGGCGGTCAGAGGGGCTCAGTCTGCTCGGGTCCGAGTCCTGTGGCTCTGTTTGCGACTAACCGCGTGTCTGTGCGGTTTTCACTGATCTATTTCTGGATGGTCACACATTCCTATGGCCCCAGGTTTAAAGAGAAACGTACGCCCAGGACTCGAACCATGTGTCCCCAGGCTGTCCCGGCCCCGCCCAGGGAGGCTGGCCGGTGCTGGGCGCTCGCACCCGCGCGGCTGCCACATGCAGCTCTGCACCGCGTCCTCCCAGCCCCGTGCTCGAGCAGTTTTCAGGTGGGGTCCTGCTGGGCCCCAGGCCTCCCCTCCCTGCCTGCCCGCCTGCCCGTCTGCCCCTGCAGGGAGGGCCTGTGTCCTACCCAAAGTCGCACCTGCCCTTGCGGGAGCTGCAGCGCCTTTTCCAGCAACAGCTGCGTGTGGAGATGGCCACCACCGTGGCTGTGGAGTCCGTGGAGCAGGCCCGGGTGCTGACCGAGGAGGTCCTGCGGGCGGTGAGGAGCTCGGCCGGGTCACAGCCCCGGGGTGGGTGCGGGGGGCGGCGGTCTGCGCCGCCTCCCCAGAGCCAGGGGTGGCCACGTGTCCCCCTGGCCCTGCAGGGGGGATGCTCCTTCCGGGTGCCCGTAAGGTCGGGCCCCCTTGCTCCCGAGGGCCTGGAGGCCGTGGGGGTGATGCCCGCGCCCGTGCCCCACAGCGGAACACCGTGCAGCAGCTCCGTGCCGAGTGGGTGGAGGCCCTGTGCCTGGGGCTGCGGAACCTGAAGGCCAGTGAGGTCTGTGCTGCCCGCGCCGGCCGCCCCACCGTCTTCCCGTTTCTGTGCGTGCTTCCGGAGAAGGAGCTCGCCGAGCTGCTGTTGCAGGTGGGGCCTGCGGACTGCGGGGGCGGGGTGCACGGGCAGGCTGGGGGCTGAGGGACTGGGCGGCTGGGGCTCACGGTGCCGCCCCCAGACCCTGCAGGTGCTGCCGCCGCAGGGGGAGTCGCTGCTGTCCCTGGCGCAGCAGCTGGGCGTGCGCGTGTTCAGCCGGCACGCGGTGCGGAGGCAGCGGCTGAGCAGCCGGCTGCGGGCACTCCGGGAGCGCTACCACCAATACGTGCGCCTGCTGGCCTCCGACACCCAGGTGAGCCCGGGCCGGGGTCCTTGCCGGGGTGGGGGGCTGCCGGCATGTTCCCGGGGCAGAAACCGAGGCGTGGCGTGCAGGTCCCTGCCCCGACCGGGGCAGCTGGGATTGCCCCCGGGCCCTGGCACTTCCCGATTGGCTCCTGTGCTGGCGCCGGCTGGGGGGGATGGTCCATCCTGGGCCCGCACCGCAGTCCCTGAGACACTCTCCCACCCCAGGTGGAGGTGCCCTGCCTGCCACGGCAGTACTGGGAGGCGCTGGGGCCGCCTGAGGCCCCCCACGAGCAGCCTTGGCCCTTGTCTGTACTGGTGCAACTGGGCAAGAAGCTGGCCGAGATGCTGGTAGAGGCCGTGCGGATGCCTGGCAGCGTGGCCGCCCCGCAGGGCCCCTGCACGCTCATCCCCGTGCTCTACCATGTGTACTCCTTCCGCAGCTTCCGCCAGGTGTGCGGCTAGGGAGGGGGTGGGGGCCGTGGGGCCCTGCTGGGGTCCTCTGCCCGCTCGCGGCGTGTCCTCCAGGGTGGGGGACCTGGGGAGCCATCTCCGCCTGCCTCGCCCCCAGATTGGGATCCTGAAGCCACACCCGGCCTTCATCGAGCTGCTGGCGACGGCCGCAGAGCACACGCTGACCTTCGAGGCGGCCGAGGTGCCCATGCTGTGCCCACCGCTGCCCTGGACGTCACCGCACACGGGTGCTTTCCTGCTGAGCCCCACCAAGCTCATGCGCTCGCTGGAGGGCACCGTGCAGCACCAGCGCCTGCTGGACAGCTGCCCGCCCGCCGACCTGCACGGTGCCCTGGACGCCCTCACCCAGCTGGGCAACTGTGCCTGGCGGGTCAACGGGCGCGTGCTGGACCTGGTGCTGGAGCTCTTTGCCGCCAAGGGCTGCCCGCGTCTGGGGGTGCCGGCCCCGGCCTCCGAGGCACCCCGGCCGCCCGAGGGCCGCCTGCCGCCTGGCGCCTCACCTGCCCAGAAGGCCGAGGTGCGGCGGGAGCTGGCCCGCTGCCTGAAGGTGGCCCGGGAGATGCACAGCCTGCGTTCGGACGCCCTGTACCGGCTGTCGCTGGCCCAGCACCTCCGGCACCGCGTCTTCTGGTTGCCGCACAACATGGACTTCCGCGGCCGCACCTACCCCTGCCCGCCCCACTTCCACCACCTGGGCAGCGACCTGGCGCGCGCCCTGCTGGAGTTTGCCCAGGGCCGTCCGCTCGGCGCTCGCGGCCTGGACTGGCTCAAGGTCCACCTGGTCAACCTCACGGGGCTCAAGAAGCGCGAGTCGCTGCGGGCACGCCTGGCCTTCGCCGACGAGGTGATGGAGGACATTCTGGACTCTGCCGACCGGCCCATGACGGTAGGGGCGTGGAGAGCGCAGACTGGGGCCCTCGCTCCTTGCCTCTCCTCCCTCGGCCTGTGCCGTGCGCTGGTGACCCCGGCCCCTCCTTCCCAGCCCCCCTGGGCACAGGCTCCTGGCTCCGTCCTTTCTGTCCTCTTCCCTCTGTGGCTTTGCCACCTCCCGGCCCGGGCCAGCCCTTTTTCCAGACCTTTCCCCATCCCATGGCTGCTAGTGCAGGACTGCTCTGGTGTCCCCTTGCGTGCCTGTCACTCCTGTCGCCCCTGCTGTCCCAGGGGCTCCGTTTCGGCCTCCCAGCCCCAGCCAGCCTGGCCTGAGCCCCACTCCACCTTCTCGCAGGGCCGCAAGTGGTGGATGGACGTGGATGAGCCCTGGCAAGCCCTGGCGTGCTGCATGGAGATCGCGCGGGCTGTGCGCTCTCCTGACCCAGCTGCCTACGTCTCTCACTTCCCGGTTCACCAGGTGAGCTGCTGGGGGCCCTAGCGTGGGTTGGGCCTGGCCCTGGGGGGCCGGGCCGGATGGTGGGGGCACGTAGTCCCTGCAGACCCCACTTTAGTCGTGCTGGTGTCCCTGCGCAGGGGCCCCAGTGGGTGCGGCCAGCCCAGTGGTGGGACCCTCTACGGGCACGTTGCCCTGCCTGTCCGCAGTGAGGTCTTGCGCACTGGCGGCATGAGCAGCGCACCGGGGAACCTCGGAGCTGTGATTCCTTTCCTGGGGTCACTCCTGCCAACCCTCACGATCCCTCACTCTCCATTGGCCCAGGATGGCTCCTGTAACGGCCTACAGCACTACGCCGCCCTGGGCCGGGACAGCGTGGGGGCCGCCTCTGTCAACCTGCTGCCTTCGGATGTACCGCAGGATGTGTACAGTGGGGTGGCCGCACAGGTGGGCCCCGCAGCCCCGCCGCCCCCCGTTCTCCTCCTCCAAGCCCACGTGGGGTCTCTGTCCTGTGAATGCCCGGATTTGCAGATCCCGTGGGCTCTGAGTGGGCAGTCAGGGTGGGCTTCCCAGGGGAGGTGTCAGATGAGGAAACTGCGGGGGGGCCTCATGGTGGGGCTGCTGGGCGGGGTGGGAGATAGGGTCTGCGCACCCTCCCACCGACCCCCAGTGTCTGCCCAGGTGGAGGTGTTCCGCAAGCAGGACGCCAAACGGGGCGTGCGCGTGGCCCAAGTGCTTGAGGGTTTCATCAGCCGCAAGGTGGTCAAGCAGACGGTGATGACCGTGGTGTACGGGGTCACCCGCTACGGGGGCCGCCTGCAGATCGAGAGGCGCCTGCGGGAGCTCAGCGACTTCCCCCAGGTGCACAGCGTCCGGCGCACTGTGGGGGAGGGATGGCCCCCCGCCCCCGCCCGTCCCCCCGAACCGCTGGCTGCCAAGCAGCCCCAAGGAGGAAGATGGTTCTCTTGCCCCTCCGGGTCCCTCGGCGCGGGTGGGGAGGCCGCCCGGGCTCTGACCGCCCCTACACCCCTGCAGGAGTTCGTGTGGGAGGCCTCACACTACCTGGTGCGCCAGGTGTTCAACAGCCTGCAGGAGATGTTCTCAGGCACCCGGGCCATCCAGGTGTGTGGCCCCGGCCCCTCCCCGCGCCCAGCAGGCCGCCCCCGGCTGGGCCCTGCTCTGAGCCCCTCCCACCCTGCGTCCACAGCACTGGCTGACCGAGAGCGCCCGGCTCATCGCCCACACGGGCTCGGCCGTGGAGTGGGTCACACCCCTGGGCATCCCCATCATCCAGCCCTACCACCAGGATGCCAAGGTGTTGGTACGTGCCCCGCCCCCCAGCCCCCACGCTGCATCAGGGTGGACTCCTGACCCTCCCCACCCCAACCCTGCAGATTGCCGGCGGCATGCAGAGCCTCACGTTCAGCCAGAGCGGGGACACCAGCCAGTGAGTGCCGGCGGGGGTGCTGGGCCGGGTGGGGGCCGTGGGGGCCAGGCCAGGGGTGTCTGAGCCCTTTCCCCTCCCCAGGAAGCCTAACACACTGAAGCAGAAGAACGGGTTCCCCCCCAACTTCATCCACTCGCTGGACTCTTCCCACATGATGCTCACGGCCCTGCACTGCTACAGGTGGGCCCTGCGTCGGGGCTGCGCGCCTTCCAGCCCGCTCTGCTCGTCGTCTTGCATGCAGGCCCTGTTCAGGGCTTTGGGGATGCAGGGGGGGCCCAGAGTGGCAAAGGCAGGTTGGGGGCCAGGGTGGAGGCCTACAGCAGGTGAGGACCGTGGGGGTTGTTGGAGCTGCTGCCCAGAAAAGGACTATGCGAGCATGTGCAAAGGCCCTGAGGCAGCGTGGTGTGTGTGATGGTGAAGCAGCTGGCTGGGCCCAAGAGGGAAGAGTGGTTTCTCTGAGAAGTGCCTGCGGTCCCGTCCGGGGGGTCCTGGCAGCATAGCGTGTGGGGGGTGGCCTCGTAGGCTGAGGCATAGGCGTCTGGGTATGTCCTGAGCCCCTCGGGTGTAGCCAAGCATGGCCATAGGGCAGGTGTGTGGCTAGTTCTCTTAGAAAGGAGCCAGGGTTCGGGGGTAAGTTCTGTTTCTGTCTACCCCCTCTCGGACCACAGGAGCCCTGTAGTGGGGGGAGGGGACAGTATCAGCTGCAGCGGCTAGGGACGGGTGGAGGGAATGACACGGGACCAAGAGTTTTCTCCCTAGAGGAGGACTTTCCGCCCCTGTGCCGAGCACGGCACACGCACAGGGGCTGGGACACGTCGGCGGCGGGGGGTTGGGGTGAGGACGGAAAGGAGCAGGATGGGGAGTGGACCAGGAAGGGCCGCACTCCTCCTCACAGGAGATCCTTACTCCTCGGCAGGAAAGGCCTGACCTTTGTGTCTGTGCATGACTGCTTCTGGACCCACGCGGCTGATGTGGAGGTCATGAACCAGGTGCTGCTGCCCACCTCACGCCCACATGCGTTCCCCAAGGTGGCAGCAGGCACCCCTGATCCCATGGCCCTTGTCTTGTGGCACCTGCCTCTGTCCGCCAAGGCAGCGATCGCTGAGTGTTGGGCAGCCCTGCCTCACCTGATCTGGGAGGCCCTGCCCTGCTGCCCCCCTCAACCCCCGCAGGTCTTAGGTCTCCCCCCTGCCCAGGCCCTAGCTCTCCCCCCAACCAGGTCCTGGGTCTCCCCTCCCCCCAGGTGTGCCGGGAGCAGTTTGTCAGTCTGCACAGCCAGCCCATCTTGCACAACCTATCCAGGTTCCTGGTGAAGCGGTACTGTGCCAGCACCAGGTGAACTACCCCCTCCCAAGACCGGTGGGGCTGGGGCCGCCCCTCTCTGCCCTGCTCGGCCTCACCGCCGCTCCCCCACCCTCAGGCTCAGGGCCCCCCAGCACTCCAAGAATCTGTGGATGGGCAAGCTGCAGGACACGCTGAAGTCCGTGCCGAAGACAGGTGGGGGCGGGGACCGTCTGCTTGCGCGCTGGGCGTGGGCTACCCCCACAGTCCCGCCCCACAGTCCCGCCCCACGGTGTCCGCTCTGCTCCGCAGGGGCCTTGGACCTGGAGCAGGTGAAGCACTCCACTTACTTCTTCAGCTGACGTGGTGGTCCCCAGGCGAGGTCCCCAGCTGCTGTCCCCAGCCAGGCACCGCGCAGGCTGCCCGCCCGGTACCATAGTGTAAATAAAGCCCTGTTGTCACTCGAGGGATCGATTGTCTTCCGCCGGCCTCGTGCGCTGGCACCTGGGACCCGGCAGCGAGCAATCAGAGGCCGGCAGGCTGGGCGCCAATGCTGTCGTTTATTGCGCGGAATGGGGGTGTGGGGGTCAGGGGCGCGGAGCATGGCGGGGGCTGCTGCCTTGGCTGCCAGTACATTCATCTCGATGGCGGCCCGGCTGCGCCCCCGCGCCGCTGGGACTACCCGCCCCTGAGCGCGGGGCGCTGGAGAGGGCTGGGTGTGCCGGCTCCGGGGACGTGACCACGGGGCGCGCGTGGACGGGGGCCAGGCCGGTTATTGCGTGAGCGCAGGGGGAGGGGTGGGGGGGGCAGCAGGAAGCCGGCGGCCAAGTATTGCACTTAAAAAACACAATCCTCATCTGACGGGCCACCTGCGAGGGCGGGGGCGGGCAGGCCTCCACAACCATCTCCTGGCCACCAGGCCGTCCCCGTCCCCGTTTCACAGTTGGGGGAACTGAGGCACCGAGGTGAAGGGGGCCCCCTCGCTCGCACGCAGGCGAGGCCACCGCCGGTGGGGGGTGGGGGCAAGGATGATGTGGGTGGGCGCAGGGCGATGGGGGGCGTGGCGGGGGCTCAGAGGGGGCTGCCTTGCCGCCCCGGCCCGCCCGTCCGACTACGACTACCTGGAACTCCTCTATGGCTTCTGGGGCGGGCGGCCGGCGGCCGGGGCAGCGCGCAATGGCATGGCTTTGGTGTGGATGACGGCCCCGCCCCCGGCCCGCCCGGGCCCGCGGGGCGGCGTGGCAAAGGTCACAAGTTGGACGAGAGGCGCGAGCGCGCGGAGTCCAGCGGGTCGAGGCCGCCGGCGGCGCCGGGCGAGGCCGAGTCCCTGCGGTCCGGGCTGGGCGCCACGGCCCGGGGGGCGGGCGCAGGACCCAAGCGCGGCGTGGAGCTGCTGGCCGGGCGCGCCGAGGCCGCGGGGCCCGGGCCGGACGCGCCGTGGGGCAGCGAGGGCTGCGAGGCCGACAGCGGGCGCGAGGCCCGACTCAGGCGGCGCGCAGGGAGCGCGGGTCCGGCGCGGGGTGCGGCGGGGGAGCCGGGCGCGCCGCCGTAGGGCGAGGTCCGCGGCGCCCGGGGGCTGGCAGGCGCGCCGGGAGGACTGGCGGTGGAGGGCGCGGGCCCCGGCGAGGCGGCGGCGGAGGGCGCCGCTGCGGGACCCGGCGGCGGGCGGCGCACGAGGCGCGGTGAGCCTAGCGCCAGCGGCCCCACGAGCGGCCGCGCCACCTGCGGGCAGAAGCTCATGGCCACAGCTTGCTGCAGCGTGGCGATGGCCGAGGTGACCTGCGGCGGCGGCGGCGGCGGGAAGAGGCCCACGCGTGGGCCCAGCTCGGCCTGCTGCACCATCTCGCGGTCGTACTTGACGATCTCCTGGATGATGGCGTTCTCCTGGTTGTTGAACACGCCGGAGTTGAGGTCGTGCTGCACTTTGTGCAAGAGGATCGAGTTCTTCTTGCCTGGGGGCAGGGCAGGGCAGGGCCGTCAGCGGGGGCGCGCTCCTGGGGCTGAGCTCCGGGGCGGTGGCGGGGGGGGGGGGGGCGGGGGGCGCGCCGTGACGCGAGTGCGCGGAAGCCCCATCTACGTGCAGCCCGCAGGCAGGAGTGTGCGTGTACAGAGCATGGTACCCAGCGCCTGCTGCGTACAGTAAAACCTTTTTTATATACTGCGAACATACATGGAACACCTCCTGCATACAGCCAGCAGGTGCTGGGCGTCCGTTCTATACATCCCACTGCGAGTACCAGCTCCTGCTCTGTACTGCCAGTGTGCACAGACCACCTCCTGCATGCCACCATGAACCTGCTGGCATCACACACACACACACCTGTTGTAGATCATAAACATGCATGGAGCACCTTCTGTATACAGTAGGCACTGAGCACCTGCTGGATACAGCAAGCACGTGGAGGGCATGCAGGTGTTGGGCCCTCGTTCTGCAGACAAGCACACATGGGTCAAGAAACTGCTGCATCCGCGTAAGCACTCCCTGTATACAGCGAGCATGCTCAGGGCCCCTCCTGCCTATGGCCGATACCAACTGCCTGTGGTGCAGAGCAGACAGAACTGAGCACCTCCTGTATGCAGTAAGCAGGCATGACCTGCCGCCATGTACATACAGCAAGCAGACACCGAGTACCTGCTGTATTCAGCAGGCACTAATCCGGTACCTGTTTGTAGTAGGCACACAGAACACCCACGGCATAGACACGAGACACCTACTGTATACTGCCAGCTTGCCCCGAACACTTCTTGTATCCAGGAAACGTGTACTGTGCTCCCGCAGTATACAGCAAGCGCATGAAGTGTGTGCGGTGCTCACGAGGCAGGCCTTGCTGGACGGCAAGCCCGCGCTGTCCCTCCCATGTACTGAGTGCCCGCGGTGGGCGCCCCGCCGCACGCCAGGAGCGCTCGCCAGACACCGCAAGCGCCTCGAAGAGCCTTCGGCATGTAGCAAGCAAACCTAAGCATCTTCCACTTGCACACATGTGGAGCACCTACTGCATAGAGCAGACTGTTGAGTGCCTGCTGTATGTAAACATGAGTGGAATGCTTCCAGTCTCTCCTCCAACACCCGTGCACGCCACCCAACCCTCTTCCTCTAGCTCTTTATTCCCACGGACAGCAACGGGGCGCGGTCTGCCTGACGCAGACATCTGGTCCTCGGCGGGTCCTGAGGGCTCCACCTCTCCACCATTTCTGACATTACCCTCGGCCTCTCCCCACACCCAAGGCCACCACTTGAGGCCTCCGTCTCCCTCCTATAACCTACCTGCACTCGCACAGTGCAGATCCTATCGGCTCCTCCCCTGCCTAGCACCATCCGTGGCTTCCCACTGCTCCTGATTCACAGCCCAAACTCCTGCATCCACAGCTACTGGGTCCCGTGTGCCTGGTCCCTGCCTGCTTCCCCAAGCTCCCTCCTCCCAGCTTCTGCAGCTCTCTGGACCCCAGGCCTTGGCCTGTGCCGTGTCCACTCCCAGAACATGCCTTGTCCCTTCATACCTGACAACACTACTCCCAGCCTCCACCCAGCATCACAAGGAAGCCCGCCAGCCCCCCAGCCCCTCCTCTGTAGCATAAGCCCAAGCATGGCCTCCACGACAGCCTCCCAGTCCGGCAGCTACACCGACCGACACACTATAGGTGCTCCAGAAGCATCTCCCAAGGGAGCAGAAGTTCTGCACAACTGGAAACATGCCACACTCCCTCTTCCTTGGGAGACCAGGGCCATATCTGGCCACGGGCCAAAGCAGGTCAGAAAATCAGGTCTGGGGACTAGAAGGGCCCTGGAGGGTCCGTCGGCCGGGCCACGCCACCTCTTCACGGGCTGATGGCCCCTGGAGACCAGCCCACTCACCGATGCGGTCCAGGCGGTCGATGGCGACAGTCTCGAAGGCCCGCCGCATCATGGGGTACTCCTCTAGCACCTCGTTGAAGTTGTCCACGCTCAGGGAGTAGAGGCGGCAGTAGGTGTCAGCGCGCACGCTGGCCGTGCGCCGGCCCCGCGTCAGCAGGCAGATCTCTGCACGGGGCCCGGGCGGCGGCCTCAGCCCAGCAGGACCTCGGCCTCCAAGCAACACCTTCTTGCCCTCCCAGCCCTGGGGCCTCCCACCTGCTGCGCACGCAGCCCAGCCTCCTCCCCTCTGCTGGGGCGCACCTGCACCAGCACCCCTGTAGGCCCCCGGACGCTCACCCCCGAAATAGGAGCCATCGGACAGCTTCATCTCCTTGTTGCCCTTGGTGAGCACGCTGAGCACGCCGTGCTGGATGAAGTACATCTTCTTGCCCACGGTCCCCTCGCGGATGATGTAGTCGCCCGGCTGGAAGACCTCAAACTTGAGTTTGGTCAGCATGGCTGTGACAAAGTTGGGGTCGGCATTGGCAAACAGGGGCATCGAGGCCACCAGCTTCCGGCAGTTGAAGTTGACAATCTCCTGGAAGGGTGGGAAGCGGGGTGACACAGGGCCCAAGTCCTTGTCCCCTCTCGCCCTCCTTTGGGGGCTGTCTCCTCCTCAGACCCTCAGCTCTTAATCTACCAGAGGAATTTGACACCGTAGCCTGAAGCGGGCACCTTCCTTCCTGGGCGGACCCCGGAGGCTTGACCGCAAGACAGGAGCAAGACAAGACGTGTGCTGAGTGTCCGCCAGTTAACTCTGTTGGCCACACCAGCCAGTGCGATTAGGCAGGAAAGGCCATCAGAGACATAAGAACAGGGAAGGAAAACATGACGCCAAATCCCTTTACTATCTTCTTTAACATGCTGACCCAGAAGGGGAACCCAGAAGAATCCATGGAAAAGCACAGCGGTCCGAGGAGTCAACCCAAACAGCGAGCGATAACACAAAGAATCAGCGCACAAACCCGAGAACAGTCAAGGGCTCCGCGGCGGCAGAGGTCAGGGTGAGGGTGGGACGTCCCACAGTCGACTTGAGCATTAGTCACGTGAGGGTCCCACGCTCGCCCATCGAGTGCGCACACCCGGTAAGACGTGTTTCAGTCAAAGGGGGAGCTGAGCCTTCCAAACCGACAGCCCTCTTGTGTGCCAACGAGCCACGGAGAAGACGACGCAGCAGACGGGAGGACCCCGTTTACGCCCGCACAGAGCGCTGAGCAAGACAGCAGGGCTTGCCCTTAAGAGAGGTCCGGACCCGTCTGAGGAGAGCGTGCAGACACCCCGAGAGGCACGGCGGGACGCGGGCACGCACTCCGTGGTCAGGCAGAGCTCCTCACCGCCGTGAGGACGAGACGTCCACTCTCCCCACTCGTGGACACCAGTGCCCGGATCCCAACGATAATACCATCGGGTTTTTGGGAATTGCTGAAACTAGCCAAGGTCATTTAGAACAAATGAGCAAAAGTCGCAGGAAAGCCTGCTAGCGAGAAGAGCAGGGCGGTGGGGCGAGCCCTCCCACGCGCTGAGACCTGCCATCCAGCCCCCACCGCTCCATGGGGTTTGGCACACAGAGCAGACGGGACAGCGTGGAAGAAGTC